AGAGGACGGGCATGCCTTGAAGGTTAGCGTCCACGCAGTGAAGAGCTCTGACATGCAAAACTTGTCACAAGATAGATACAGTACACTGAACGCACCCTTGTTCAAATCACATGCTTTTCCCCCTGTAAAATTGGGACCAAAATTACATTGGAAAACCAATTCACAAATGTTGATAAATATATCCGAGGCACCGCAGATCTGTACTGTGCCTGATTCGGAAAACCTGTTATGGGAGCAAAGAATTGAGATTTTTTTTTTTTTTGTCTCTATGTGCCCTGAGATTGACTGGAAACCAGTTCAAGATGTACCCCGCTCTTGCCGAGTCAGCTGGGATAGTCTTCAGCTCACCCACGACAAGCGCCGCAAAAAAAAATAAAAATTGATAGATGGATAATCGATCATTTCACTTGAAAAAGAAACACAACTCGACTGCAATAAGATGGGATCTTAGTGCATATTTTGTTGAATAACTTTAGCTTGAATGACAGTGCTCAGTGTTTTTTTTTTGTTTTTTTTTTGTGGAAGATCAGAATGGGACAAAATTTTCCCTCTCTATTCATGTGAATATTTGTCGTCAGGTTCACTGTTGGTGAGCAGCACATCGAAAGAAGGTCGGGATAGCGACGCAGACCTCGACGTGGATGGAGACGACACCTTGGAGTACGGCCGGGCACAGTATCCTTCTTCAAATTGTTTGGAAATGGAGGGAAAAGTGTTTTTAATTGTATACTAATACCTGAAACTTCCCAAAGACATATTTTCAAATTTACATTTTCTCCAAAGTGAGTCACATCATTCTTAACTTTGCCTTTTAAACCCTTATAGGACAATATTATAATAAATAAATATCATAATTACAATAGAAAAATAATAATAAAGATTCCTGGTCCAAAAAAGGACATGGAAAAATAGGCGATCAATAGAGCACAGACCTCCCCCAAATGCCAAACGATTCTACTGTCAGCACCCTGTTGTACACCGTCATGGATGCAAACGTCGGAATTTAAGCGGCATGCATTATGGATTGAGAAATTCATTGTTCCTCTGACTTGTGCGGACGAAATGGTTTTCCACAAAATTTGTGCGTAAATTGTCTGACTCATTTTTGGATAATCCTATCAAAGTAGAAATCTAAATATATTCCTGTCAGATTTATAAACTTGCATTCATCCGATGTTTTTGAGATTTTTTTTCCCCACCCTTAGCTTTCATTTTAGATACACAGAGACAGATGTGATCATGTGCTCTGGAGAAAACAGCAAGGAGCTAACAACAAAGTATGTTTCTTTCGAAGCATAGTTGACTCTGAGCATTACGTGAATTTCATGTTTCATTGTTGTTGTGTAGCAGTGTCGGAACATTGCCTGACTCTGGAGTCCACCAGGAAATTTCCAAATGGTCAAATGATGGTATGGTGACCCAAAAGGAATTAGAATTACAAGTCATTGATTGCTTCTTATGTTGTACTTTTATGTTGATTCAAGTCCATGCAGAGAGTCCGTCCACCAGCAGTGGAGATAAAGTGGATGGAAGCATACCTGTCCTCCCAAAAACCTGCAAAAACGATGACATGGACATGTAAGCGCAGAATTCTTTAGATTTCAAGGCGTCATCATGTCAAATGTATGCTCTGACAATGATTTAGTTGGAAATACTACAAAAAAACGTAAGCATCATACTCATGATGGATTGAAACGGAACTATGTGCACTGGACCCCCATTACACTCATGGTTCAGTACCTGTATGATTTGCATATACACACTTTTTTTTGGTCAATATATTTTAAAATATCTTATTTTTTTGGAGGGTTCCCCATGACCTCTACCCCATTTTTTTGTGAAAAATTCTTGGAGGTCTCGATTCGTAGGATTCTACTGTACCTCAAACCGTTACACCAAAGTGCTCAAGTTTGCAACTTTTTCCACCACAACAAGCAGATTTGCCAATATGCTAAAATGTTATCTTACCGTATTTCCCGCACTACAAGGCGCTTCGGAGTATAAGGCGCACCTTCAATAAATGGCCTATTTTAAAACTGTTTTCATATTTAGGGTGTACCGCATTATAAGGCGGATAGAATAGAAGCTCCAATAGTGGCTGCGGTTGCATTATGTATCCACTAGATGGAGCTACATTAAAGGGAATACAATACAATACAGCTTTATTTATATAAGTACGCTCACAACCCCTGCAGCTGTAACAAAACGCTTTTCGGAACATTTATAATACTACATCCAAGAAATCAGAATATGAATCCATATATAAGGCGCATCGGATTATGTCAGCTTTTGAGAAAATTAGAACGCTTTTAGGTGTGCCTTATAGTGCAGAAAATACGGTCGTCATCTTTTGTTATAATGTCAAAGACGTGATACAAAAGCTTTTCTTTTTGTATAAAATCCCACACATCTGGTTGACATTGACGCATACATGATGGAACCCCACTGAAAGACCAGCAAAAATAAGATGGCAACCACCAAGCACATAAAACTTTATTTCAACTCATAACAACATATGCGACAACTCTTTTTTTTTTTTTAATTAAAACAAAAATAGACAGCAAATGCATGTCCGTTTGTTCAGTATTAATGCCAAGTCCCAAATCCCCGCCACCGCCAAACACCGCATCGCCATACAGCACCCCCACCATCCCTCAGCCGATGATAAATGACAGTGCACGCAGCCAATGTGATTGCTGCTAAATTTCATGCTCACCATCCTTGTTGGCCAGGAAATAATTTAATATGTCTTCCATTTATAAATGACTATACAGTGTCGAACTCACGGTCTCTCGCGTGTGTGTGTGCGTGTGTGCGTGCGTGCGTGAAGGCTCTCAGAAGACTCTGCGCTGACATCCCTGGATGCTCTTAAAGCTCGGATACGGGATTTGGAGAAACAGTTGTGTAAAGGGGACAGATTTAAATGCCTCATCTGCATGGTGAGTGTATGTCTTCATTTTGGCGCACTTGTTGAGAGGGAAGCGTCTATCGTATGCTGTGAATTGCAAAGACGTTTTCTTTAGATTTTGTAGAATATCTTTTGTCGCTGCCCAATGAAATGTGTCAGATTTCTTTGATGTCATTTATAGCCCAAACAGTAAAACATAAAGACAATTTTGGAAATGTACGTGGTTGCATTGGGACAGCAATATTTTCATATTTTTGAAATAATCATCAAAGTATGTAGATTGACGAGTACAAATAATAATTTTTTTTTTTTTTTCGTAGATTGACGAGTACAAATAATAAAAAATTTTTTTTTCTGACTGGGCTCGGTACTGTTAGCAATTAGAAAAATCGAAAACATGTTTTTATTTGTTTTGTTTATTTATATTTTACTTTCATTGTTACTGACCCCTCCACGCACACACTGTTGGCCCAAAGTTGTTTTAATTGTTTTGAATGGGGCCTAAATTAAATAAAAATGTGATGTGAATTGAAATGAGAAAACGTGTGTGGCTTTTAACTAACATGTTCATTATATGTATAGAAAATACAGATAGTATATTTTCATTATTTTATTACTATGTGCCCTGTGTACTGTTTAATATTCTAATGAAATATATATTTTTAAATGTATTGATTTAATTTGTTCTATTCCCTTTAATACTTATTTTGCCGGGGAATTTCCCAGTTATGGGACAAATGACGGAGTGGTTCAATCTGTTTCGGTGGGCCCTCCATTTAAATCTCTGAAATGAAATTAGCCAATCTGTAGTTGGAAAATTACACTTGAATCCTCTATGAACAAGCACGTGACTGGAACAACAATCAAGTTGAATTGCAGTAGAAAGGTTACTTACGGACATCTAGTGGCGAGATTCGTCATTGCAAATGCCAAGTTTTGACCTGTGTTTTATCCTCAAGGATACTTATTCAACCCCGCTCACATCCATCCAATGCTGGCATGTTCACTGTGAAGAGTGTTGGCTCCGAACATTGGTATGTATCTTCCCTAAAAAAAAAAAAATTTAAAAATCACAAACATGAAACTTTTTTCATGGATTGATTATAGTGTGATTTTCTTCATTAGGGAGCAAAGAAGCTGTGCCCTCAGTGCAACACCATCACCTCACCCGGCGACCTGCGGAGGGTCTACCTGTGACGCCAGGCCCATCACAAGGGGTGGATTTGTGAGCAGCTGGCCTGACGCCCACCCTCTTCCCAATCTCCTCATCTCGGACCTACTTTTTAGTCATTGCATCCATTCAAAAAAAAAAAAAAGAAAAAGAAAAATTCCAGGGACAATAGCTCCAAAGTGACATTTAACATGAACTATTAAAAATTCCTGCAACTTGTTTGGTGGAAACACCCGAATAACACTCTTTGGGATGATATTTATCAATTTTATAACCTGTTTTTTTTCTGTTTTCTTGCAAAGCACATGTAAATATTTTTTCGTGTTTGGATTGGTGTTTGTACATGATGTTTATGAGAACAACCTGACTGTATTTACTATACAGCATTTGTCTTAATGTTTGGCTCCATCTCTTCTTCTCATACCTCCTCACTTTTTGTCTTTATCGTTACTATAATAATAAAAGTTGTGGCCAAAAGGGGCATCGGAGTTCATTATGAAAGATTCAAGCTGTGTTGAGTCAATGTGTCGACCTTAAGAAGTGGGTCGCTGCGGGATTAGCCTGGTCAAGCCCAGGCGTGTCTCAATTGTAGCCTATGTAATTCTGTGCTTTTTACTCGGAAAGATTACAAAGGTGACAACACATCAAGGACACTTTACACTTCGACAAATATCTGTTCGTGATACAGTATGAGATTAGTTTAATTATCACTTTATTTCTTCACATCAGCCTAACGGAGACAATAGAGCCACTTCCGGGTATATAAACATATGTCAACCGTCCAAAAAATCAGACTACCTGTGGACCCTTACAGGTGTGGATGGGCTGGATATAAACAAACCGGGCCAGCATGCAGACGTGTGATTGGTCCGTGGATGTTGCCTTGGGGAGGCGGCAGTAATTGAGGTTGACAGTGAGCTGATCAGCGAATCCCTCGTTGAGCATCACGCCCGACTGAGCGGTCCAATCCACATCTCTTCGAGGGTGCAGAAAGGTAAGCAAAAGCCTTCAAATGAATTTATTTGGAGAAAATATCACCCCCGAAAAATCAATGAGAAATTGGAATATGTATTTGTACCATTTTTTTTGAATTTGAACACCTATCTTTAAAATACATCTATTTATAATTTATATCATAGTTGCTTCCAGTTGCTGTTTGGATGACCAGTTGAGTGTGAATAAAAAAAAAAAAAAAAGGAATCAAGTGAGACGTGAACAAATAGAATTGTATTAGTCCAGCAAAACACTGCACACCTGTTTTATGTAACTTCATAGTTGACATTTATTTGTTAAAATATGTATGCATAATATAACGTGACAATAAAACCAGCTGAACATGGGCAGAAAATGGCTTCATACATTAAAAAAACCTTTGTATTCCTTGTTTCATGAGTAAAATGCAGTACAATACAAAAAAATAGGTAATAGTAAATATGGAAAGGTTTGACACCCATCATTGAGAAATTGTAATTGGATTTATCTGTCTTGTATAGACAAATACGCAGCAAGATGAATGTGCATCAATAAAACCTGAGACACTCATCATTGTAATACAGCACTACCAAAAATGTAATTGCCTAAAAAGTGAAACATGGAACAAGAAAATCAGCTTTTCACAAAGGTAGCCTCAGAAAAAATAGTCGGATGCTGAATAAAACAGATCAACATTAAAAGAGCTGTCCAAATGAAAATGCCCCGCATCATGATATCCTTGTGTAATTGAACATTGTAACTCAACTCTCTTTGCACCACAGCGATAAACAGATCACCTGTCCTTGCACCTTTGCCCAGACCCAATTAATCCTGTTGACTCACTCGCCATGACTTCATTAATGAGCGCTCTTAACGTTAACCCGCAGGCCTCGGCCTGTTGCACTACTCGCCAATTAGCTGCATGTTTTCTTATTTGAATTAAACCAAGAGCCGGAACAGTTCATTACAAAGATTAATTAAAACTGAGATGATGAAAAAAGAAGAGATCGACTTTTCAACCTGTGTATGCGTGCGTGTGTGTGTGTGTGTGTGTGTGTGTGTGTGTGTGTGTGTGTGTGTGTGTGTCTGTCTGTCTGTCTGTCTGTGTGCGTGCATGTAAGGTATGTGAGTGGAGGTGAGATGGATAAGAGGAGCAGCAGGGATCAAGAGATTAGCACAGATGACAACAAGACTTCCGGTTGAGTAACATTTCTGTGGCAACTGGAGGACAATGAAGCCCCGCCCATTCGCTATTCATTAATTAACTTTGACTCCCATTTCAGTCAAATGGTCAAAAAAATTACGCTACTATTGATATGTACGTAACGTGTCTTTCGTCATCTATGAATGACCAATGACAGAATGCTTTTCCACAAACATTTTCTTTTTGTAATTTATGGGCCTCATGCTATGTACCATTTATTACACATTTATCAAGGGTGCTGTGGTATGATAAGTTTGGAATCACATTAATATTAAATAATATTATTATTGTTAAAGTGATATAAATGCATGTTTGTTATATCTGTATGTATGTACAGTATGTACATTATACTGTATAGTGTGTGCGTGTGTGCGTGTGCGTGTGCGCGTGTGTGTGTGTGTGTGTGTGTGTGTGTGTGTGTGTGTGTGTGTGTGTGTGTGCGTGTGTGTGTATTTAATGTATTATCTATAATCATAATTTGTGGTATATTTCAAGTTTAAATTCTTAATATAGACAATTATAAACAATAATAAAGCCAATTACAAAAAAAGGTTAGTTTCTGGAAGTTCAATAGGTTGTTGTATATATTAATAATAACAATAATAATAATTGTCTGATATCAGGACCATCTACAGGTTGATCACTCATGATGTCCTTGTGTGTCAGACAATGTCAGGACCGAGACCTGTGGTGCTAAGTGGACCATCTGGAGCGGGCAAGAGCACACTGATGAAGAGGCTCATGAAGGACCATGAAGGAGTGTTTGGATTTAGCGTGTCACGTAAGTGGAACAAATGCTTCCTGTCTGTTACGGACCAAGAAAAAAAATGCATATATGATGGGCTTTTTAAGTCCAGATTCCAATTCAAAAAGCATTTGTGAGTTACTCTAACATTTGATAGGCAGCACAGTGTCCTTGAGGTAAGCAAGTCTGCCTCACAGTCTTGAGATTTTGGTTCAAATCACAGCTGTTTTCCTGTATGGTTTCTGCAAGTTCTCCCTGTGCTTGGATGCAACTTTTCACAACTCTCATACTTCATCCATCCATTTTCCGATCCGCTTTATCCTCAAGGGTCGCGGAGGACACCCTGAACCGGTTGCCAGCCAATCACAGGGCACACAGAGACGAACAACCATCCGCGCTCACTCTCACAACTAGGGACAATTTAGAGTGTTCAATCAGCCTGCCATACATGTTTTTGGAATGTGGGAGGAAACCGGAGTACCCGGAGAAAACCCACACAGGGTCGTGGAAAACATGCAAACTCCACACAGGGAGGCCGGAGCTGGAATTGTACCCAGTACCTCTGCACTGTGAGGTCGACACGCTAACCACTTGTCCACCGGGCCACCAACTCTAATATTGTTTGTTTGAAATATTTAGACACAGCAATGTAGTTTTTTCAGAGTTCTTCAAATGGTTTTTCACAGTTACATCATGTTGGCGTGGCTAGCCGCTTTTGGGCTAAATGCATTCACACAAACATTAAGCAGGTAAAAATTTCATGCTGCTTGCATGATAGTCAACAGAATGTAGGTGTTTTTGTTGTTGTTCTTTTTTTTTTGTAATCATAACTGTCCCGTAGACCTATGAGAAAATTGGCATATACCAGCCATGCCTGTGCAGGCTGCTTAAATGACAAAGTTGGGACTGACAGAGCCGTGCCCATGGAAAGGAATGGGAAAACAAAACAATGTAACTCCAAGTGTACCCTTTATTTTTTTGGAGCAGCATATATACATAAAATTAACACTATACTGTTCTCGGCACAGACACAACGAGGAACCCTCGCCCCGGAGAGGAAAACGGCAAAGGTACTGCCAAGCTGGGGTTCAAACCTGTGGCGGTGTGAATGTTTTAGCGCGGGTGCTGTAGCAACCCTGGACAGATAGATTTGCACCTGATTCTGAAATATTTTAATAAATTATTGCACCCCCTCATATGACATTTCCCAGCCTGCCCTGGGGCTCCTGCATTACTTCTTACTCCCAAGTGAACTGCAAAATTAGTTATGTCCATTATGTACCGTCTCCATTCCAATAGGCCGGGATGAAGCTGCGTATGTGTGTGCTTGTTGTGCTTTTTCCGTAGGCCTCAACACGCTCCCCATGCTTCTGGGGGCTACTTTACTGCCCGTAGCAGACGTCTTTTCCTCAGAAGACTTAGACACGTCATTTTCGTGCCCAAATGAATCAGAAAGCCCACATGAAGGTGATCGCCGGTGTGGTTCCACATGCGTACATCTTAAGGCAGGGGGACGGGGGTTACTTTCATCACCCTGGAATGCTCTCTTTGAATATATTTAGGAAGTGCTGTTTGGATCTGAAAAAAAGAGAATAATATTTGAGGAATCACATTACGACATAAGTCCACTTTGGAGTAAAAAGCTTTTGAAAATAGCCCCCCGTGATGCCTCCGTAGCGAGTCCAGTTGTCCTTTCCCGTTTCGTGGGGGATTGTCCACAAAAAAAAAACGCAGCCCTCAGTAGAGTGTAAACAACCCCCAACCAATCATTAGCATCATATTATGCAATGTTAACCTAGGTAATTATTACATGCAATTCAAGAATTTTGTTTTTACTTTTTTGGGGAAAGGTTTAATCATTAATTCTGGGTGTCCCAAAAATTCACATAAATACAGCCAATTTTAAAGGTGGCACTTTGTGCCCCCCCCCCCCCTCATCGAACACTCACACAACCACACCCACACACACACACACACACACACACACACACACACACACACACACACACACAATTTAAAACAGCTTCAAGGTCTGCGACAGGCTTTTGTCAAAATACCTCAGCAGTCAACATTTTATCCATCCTGTTTCCTTTCTTGCTTATGTCGATATCCATTTGAACATGTTGTTGGAATTTAGATCAATACATTCAACATGAAGCATGTTGTAATTTTGCTTCCATCAAACATGTCATTACGTAGATCATATTTTTTGAAATGATGTCAACATTTTTGGTACACCCTGAATTTATAATGGTTTATTCTTTCATTGTTTGATAAATCTCATGATTTAGCCTCCTCATAATAAATTTAATATATATATTTTTTAATTGCACAATAAAATTCTGTTAGTACATCTCTTATTTTCCTCTAATGCTAATGATTGAGTATTTCATGTTAGGTTGCAGTACGTGTTTCTTTCGGACAAAAAGAAACACATGTGGTGTCCAAGTGACCTTATAGAATCCAATAAGTCCTGCTCGGCTGGCCTATTGTATGGAACGGGTTCCACGTGTTGTCATTGCGCCAGTCACACAATGTGATCCTTTCACACAGATTACCACTTCACCAGCCGAGAGGCCATGCAGGAGGGCATCCAACGCGGTGACTTTATTGAGAACGCCGAGTTCTCTGGCAACCTGTATGGAACAAGGTAAACATCCGGAAAAAAGCGACAGACTTGCTATAGTCCGTGTCAATGAATTATAAGATCACGGAATGTCCGATTATTTCAGTCGTTCAGTTCAAAATGTGAAACTCACTTGGATTGAATCATTTATTTGATTACGTTAAAAATTTTTAGAATACAGTACATTATATCATACTGTTATCAATCATATCAATATCATACTATATAAATAATACAAAGTATTAAACAAATGGGAAAATACTTTTCAGAAGATCAATTCCTACCAAATGTACATTTTAAATTGAAATATGTTTTCCATGATAATTTATTCCGACACACCTGTACAGATGATCAAAATGATCGTATTCTCACAAAATGATAATTGACATTGATTTGTTCAAGATGGGAAGAAAGAAAATTCCCAAAATGGAGTAACAGAAACTGAAAATTTTAAGTGACATTCTGTCATAAAGGTCTGAAAATAAATGAATTGTGATGAACTGGAAAAAAAAAAAACACTTTGGTAGCAAGTGACAATAGCCGTACTATGAAGCAATCGGACAATGGCGTCTGTTTTACTCCTTTGAATGGGTGAATCTATTCTTTCTTCTCTTGAGACAGTTTCCATCTTTCAGAATAAGTATTACAATAGCCCACAAAGCAAAACAACAGATATAATTTTAAAATGTATCAATGACACATTTACATCTCAATCTTTTTGGAGTGAGCCTTGAAAAATATAAGGCATAATGTAGAGACCGAGCAACAAACTAACTTAATACTTGCCGGACAAAATCTTCTTGAGATTCATTAAAATTGAGTGTGACTTGCTGGTGTTTTGAATGAATGGTTCTGTCGTAGTAGAAAACTATGCAAAGTACTGCAGTGAAATGAAGAAACCTGTTCTATGATTACACTATAGTTTCTTCGAATTTTAGTACAGTGCAAAGGTTACATAAGGACTGGCACGGACATTGTTCCCTCAGAAAAATAATAATAATAGTAGCTAATGATACCAATTGAAGGAATAAAACCCAAAAATATCAAACTTGAGAATTTTTAAATGCCACATTTTTTTTTTTTTTAGCCTGGCACAAGATGACAGCTTCAAACAAATTGATATGGTAGCCGACAACATCAAACAAATCTCTGAAATAAGGCCGCGGGTGAGGACTATCTTCATTCTTTTTCTTACGTACTTGTATAAGAGCTAAAGATATCAATCAATATGATCTCATCCGCATCATCACCTTTACCTCTATTTGCAACAACCCTGCTTTGACAAAGTAAAGAGTAGAAAGTCCAGATGTCTGTTTTCAAATGTATGGAACACAAGTAAAAAGTGACCAGAAAAATAAATACACAATTCAAGTACAATTAACCTGACAAAATCTTCTTACATGCTGTGACCAAATCTTTGTGACTTTGTTACTTCCAACCACTGGCACAGTGTGTTCTCTCTTGTCAGACATCCTATGAATAGGTAACCCATTTCAACACTTTACCTCACCAGACAAGGGGTTAGTTGCCTTGTATAAGAGCGCACTCTAAAACTGGCCCGCTGGGTTCAAGAGGATCAAGAGGATATTCACCGTCTTGGGACAGATGGAGTTTTAACCCCTGATACTACAACATAAGCGTGTGTGTGTGTGAGTCACATTCAATCTCACCTTCTTATAGTGAGGTGGGCGTAAAAAGTGTGAGCGGCTCAGCTGTGCGCAGCGATCCTCTTGAAGCTTGTTTGCTTCATGTGGGAAGTCAACAGCCGTGTGTGTGTGTGTGTGTGTGTGTGTGTGTGTGTGATGTGTTTCATAGCAAAGCTGCCATTGAAGACGTGCAGGCCAAGAACCTGATCTGCATCCTGGATGTGGACATTCAAGGTGTGAGGAGGATCAAAGAGACGAACCTGAACCCCATCTACATCTCCATCCAGCCTCCATCGATGGAGATTCTGGTAAAGGACCATTTCATATACAGTGCTGATCGAAGGCCACAGCATTAGGGACACCCACATATTCAAATCCAGTCACTTTTTCGACAACAGTAGCACCTATAGAAAAAGTACATCCTTTATGACTGACTTTTAAATGCAATGTAGTAGGCCTACATCTTACCAAAATGTGACAGAGGTTTTTTTTTCCTAAAATGTGTTTTTCTAAGTCCCTGCAACATGTTGCAATTCGAACATTAGCACGCAATATAACAAATAGTTCAACTGAAGTAATTACTCAATTAAAATATATTACACATAAAAGTAAAAAAGAACAAAAAAAAACCCTAAATAAAAGCTTAAAAAGAACCCGTTCCTCAAGATCGAAGGCAAATGTGTTGAGCTTAAGTTAAATATAACTGAATTGCTTTTTCCATCAGTGCGAATGAGGACCCACATGCTCGTACTCATCAGATGCGTGACAAAATGCTCTTTTAAGTATGGAAAAAATACATGTCAGCCCATGAAGAGTGAAAATACCCCAACAATTGACACCCAGTGGAATGCATTGGGAAAATTGGGGGAGTATCATAATAAACAAACAAAACATTTTCTTCATGCCCAAAAATTCTCCCTGCCCAAAACAGCATCCCTGCGCCATAGAGGGAGCTTACACATCAGAGAATTCTCATGAAAGAACTCTATTATTAACTGAAATACTTACTGCAGTGCAAATCAACCATTCTTAATTATTTTTTAAATAATGTCTAATAACTGTACAGTATATAGTTTTGGAATGAGGGAGGAAGCCAGAGTACTCATAGCAAAGCCACCAAAGCAGGAAAAAAATGTAAGCGACAATCATAAATATTGTTGAATCCATACTGTACTTGTTTGACAGTGTCCAAAAAACTCCAACATTATTGTATTTGTTGTATCGGATGTCGTTAGATTGTGCAGGTGTAGATGCAGTACCTTTTCTCTCTGCGAAACACTTGGTGGATGGCAATCCGATGTCATGATGAGGAGGGAAATAAATAACAAAAACATTTTCTTAAGGAAAAACGTCTCAGGGACCGACAAACTGAGTCCGAAGAAAGTTTACAGAAACGTCTGGAGGCAGCTCGCATCGACATGGAGCTCAGTAAGTTTCGACAGATTTAAAAACATACAGGTACCGGTATTCCTTTGAAATTCAAAAAATATCAACCCATCAACTAAATTCTCTCTCTGCAGGTAAGGAGCCAGGAGTGTTTGATGTTGTCATCATCAACGACGACTTAGAACGAGCTTATGAGGAGCTGAAGGAGATCCTTAATGATGTGAGCCAAGGCCCATTCCATTCGGAAATTAAGACAAAAGTTTCCCCTTTGTTTCTAAATCTCTCTCGCTCTCTCTGCACAGGAAATCCAAAAGGTTCAGGAGAGCAAATCCTAAAAGGGGCAAACTCACCAGCATCTCGGAGTGTGAAAAGGTGGTCCTTTATCGGCGATGTCTGTGAACACAGCAAATAAAAAAGCTTGTGCTGGAGAAATGTTGTCTTTTACCCTCTGTGATTCATTGCAAAAAATTTAGTTGAGCACCAGTCAGACCCAGAACAAAAAGATTAAGAGATGGAAATTGATGTTAGACTTAATTACTCTTTCAGGGACAGCGATTACTTCAGTGGACTGCTTACCATGTTGTCGGGTTACAGGCTGCATGAAAGGGTAAATATTCAAACATTAGGTGGTGCTCATTTCACTTCAGGGTTGTTTTTTTTGGTTGGACGATAATTAAATCGAAGCAAAACGTTTCATGGCTCTGGGGCTCTGAGCTGTAGAAAATATTCTGCTTCATGCCAAAAGGGTGTTTTTAAATTAAGCAGCTTTCAGTATGATTAAATGGTGTCCTACCCGTTTACAACAAGAAAGCTACTGTTCAATTCAAAATGTTATTTTCTACTGGATGCAATTCGATTGTACCGGTCAACCTAACAAAGTGTACCGTCACTGCAACACTCCAAATAGCCGCATGTATATTTGTGATTGTTTACAAGTAAAGTTGAATAAATAAGATGATGGCAGTTACTGTACTGGTCATTTCAATGCCATTTATTTCACCTGTCATCCGGCAACTCATCCAAGCAGATGGTTGACACAAATTGTATTACTGAGGCATCCAACCGACAAAAAAAAAAAAAAAAAAAAAACAAAAATCAAATTTACACATGAAAACAGAAAAAGGCTGAATAATGTCATATTTGAATTCAAATGTGACATGCAAAGAGAAACATTATCAAGTCCGAACTCACTCACTGAACATTATCTCTCAGATGCTTGCATTTAAACCATTTTAAACAACCTTTATCATGATGCTCTATAGTATAAGTTGAGACACAGCTTTTTAAGACGCATCGCAGTTCCCTTAGGGGCCAGCTGTTTGACACACAACTTTGTTAATGCTTGTACTGTACCCTTCCATTGTTTTTTTTTCTCTGGTGACTCGCTACTGGAAGAAGGGACCCTGAAGCTTGGTGCGCACTTGATCTCGCTTCTCCTCCTTCTGCGTGAGGTACGCTTTGAGTTTATCGGTGGAGAAACACACCTTGGAGTGGTGTGATCGGTGGGGGGCGCGATGAGCACGCAGCCAAGGATTCTGGAGACACTCTGCCGCAGTGGGTCTCCCCCTTAAAAAGCATTTCATGCAAAATTTAACTGTGTTGACACTATTATATCTTTTTAACATTATTTTCCTCATTCATCATCCGACTTATTCTATGTTTAAGGGTTTGTGTCTGTCACATTGGTGGCAAAAGGCTCAATATTGGACTTGTGTAACAGGTTTACAGGTTTGGGGACACAAATACCCACATCACAAGTCCAAATCAGTGTGAGACGCTCACCAGGATTTGTTATTCAGGCTGCTCTTCATCAAGTTCAAGGCTCCTTCGGACAAACCAGGGTAACAGCGTCCAAACTGGATCTTCCCTTTCTTGATGTTTCTGTCTTGTTCCCAGCTCTGTTCTGCATGAAACGGGCTGTCGGCACTCAACCTGGAAGACAGCAATTACAACCATTAGGGAGGAAGAAGAAAATATTCATGACAGTCACCAGAGTGTTGATTTGCGTGCTTACATAATAAACAAGAGAACTCCGATTGCCCAAACATCGGTCTCAGGTCCAACACCCTGGCCCTCCAGGATTTCCGGAGCTTTAGGAAGGACAATATAATCTAACAAGACAGAAAGAAACATGATATTGTTCATAAAATATTGTGCACTTATTGGCATCGGCAAGTTGACTCGCTTGATTCGTTGTAAGTTATTGAAACTGTATTAATATCAGTAAGAAATAGTGAAAAACATGATGGACAATTGTTTGTTGCGCTTATGGATGTTAGGATCATCTGAAGTTATTCCCACTCATCCTTCCATCCATCCTCCAGTAAAGAAAGTGTACCTTTGCTGCAGCGCTCTGTTGAAGGCCATGAAGGGTCAAAGTTTTAGTGTATTAGAGATTTACAACAACAACAACACTACCAAGTCCAACCAGCGTTTCATAGTCACCTTTGCTCTCCGACAGACCCTGCAGGTGCTCAGTGTGAAGGGGCTGACCAGGCGTGAAAGACAGAGCCGAGCCAAAGTCCACAATCTTCAGGTGGTTGCCGTCGTCCACGAGCATGTTGTCCGACTTGAGGTCCAAGTGGACCACTCGCCGGCCATGAAGGTAGTCGACCGCACTCAGGATCTGACCAAGCAGCTCGGCCACACTAGCCTCTGAGTACACATCTCTGCAAAACAACAACAGGAGCTAAACAGACATGCACCACAAAATATTTCTGGAATAAGGTGTTTGCACCCAGTTGTAAAGCATGGTAGTGTAGGAGGTCAGAGATGGAGCCAGAATTATTTCACTCGGATCGCCAGCCGTTTCAGTAGAGCCTTGCTGTATTAGTCTTTTTCAATGCTGTAGTAATTTCAAAAAACTCTTACCTTGCAGCTAGACTGTAGAGCAACTCTTTGCCAGGACAAAGCTCCTCCACCAGCACCAGGTAACAGGAAGTGATGTAAGCAGTGTGCAGTTGTACCAGGTGGGCATGATGAAGCCTCCTCAGCAGCTGATATTCCCTCAGGACCAACTGTCTGTGCTCCGCCCGGTACGGCGTGATCTTGGCGGCAAACACTTGGCTGGTTTCAGCATCGCGACATAAGTTGACCACGCTGAAACGACCCCTGAGGCAAAGATGTCAACAAATGATGAGGGGATGGAGCACAAGGGCATAGCTTTGCTGAACGCTAACTTGAAGCGATTTATAAAAGCCCAACCTGTTGATCTCTGACAGGAAGTTGTAATTCCTCTGGGTTGCCTGACTTTCTGACCCAGTCACCTTTGAACCGAGGCAGTCAGTCTGGATGAGAGGAATATTTACATCTGCGTAACCAAAAAAAAAAAAGTGACTAGGTGGAGGAATGAAGGCTCTTTCAAGTACCTTTTTTAATTTATGCAGCCCTCACCTTCAAGGTGTGTTGCCATGACAATGGGGGCGGAAGCATCACTGAAAGGTCCTGCTCCTGTCTTGGTGATACAACCTACCCTGAAAGCATATGAAGCTCCTCTGGGTAGATCTTTCGCGACATAGCTGCTGTCAGTCACATCCTCCGACAAGACTGTCCACTCCCCACCTGAAGAGTAATGTAGCACTCCTTTACGATGCGACACGATGACGCAATTCATTTGTAGCCAACAACAAAATATACAGCTGGATCTTGGTTGTGACCTTACCATCTGTACAGTATTGCACACAGTAGGTGACCGGGTCACTAGACTGAACAGGCTTCCACACTAGCAGTACTCCACCTCCGTCCAACTGAAGCACATCAGCCTTGTTGGGACGGACTAGAAGATCTAATAAAATGAAGCTTAGCACAATTGTCGGCAACAATCATATTATGAGCAACTGACAAATTGAATATGGCTAATTTGATACCTTTCGATTTTTTGAATGCTGGTATCTTAAAAGTAGTCAGGCGCTTGGAGGTTCTCATTTTTGGACTTTCAAGCCCATGCTCCTTTTCAGGCAAAATTGAGCCCTTAACAATTGGCCCTGTTGTAACAAAAAAAAAAAAAACATTAAATAAAGTTGATTGTATTGTTGTTCTTCAATCAGACACTTGTGCAACAATAAAAATGGTGCACCTCCTTGACTTAGATCCTCTTTACTGGATGACCTTGAAAACAGCTTCGTCAAACTGGAAGCCGAAGCTCTCATTTTCTTTCTGAATGACATGGTAGGCGTAGCTGGCTTCATTATCTCTCCTAGCGTTGGTCCTAACTCTGTGCTGTCCAGCTGGGAGTAGGAATGGCTAGCCCAGGACTGCCTGCGGAAGATATTCAGCAGTCCCAGTTTTGGGGATTTTCCTGCGGGTGGCTGGACTTCAAGAGCTGGCGCAGATGCATGTCTTTGAAGGCCGTGGCTTTCCTTCTTATCTTTTGCCCTGGGTGGCCTTTTGGGAGCCTGGAGAGAGGAGAGGCTCGGACTTGGACTGGGGGTTGATGACATCTGCAAGTGACATATGTTGGGGTTGGAGCGTGTGCGATTGCGTGGAGGAACTTGAGGAAAGGGGCCTCTGGGTTTGAGTTCTTGAAATGAGCGAGGGGATGATGAAGTCCTGGGCTCCCTTGGGTCATCATACCCTTCACTCTCTTCTGACCTGTACCTCCCTCTGAGCTCTTCATATGAACCGAGTCTACTGGAAGACTCAGAGCCACCATGCTCCAAAATAGATGAGCCAGCCAAGGAACCCTGGGAGCCAGTGAAGGCGTCGCCCTCTGATTGTTCCTGATCCATCCTGTGGCTCATCCTGTCACCCACAAGTAGACTTAATGGAGCAGATCCACCACCCAATGTTGCAGTGCCCTGTACGGGAATAGTGGAACCTCTTCTTCTTGCGGGTCTCCGAGGGCTTGGAATCATCAGCAATTTCTTTCCTCCCACTTCATCGTCTGTGAAATCCTCCTTCAAACTTTGCGTACCTTCTTCGTCACCTGCCTTTGAGGGCTTGGGTGAGCTTGGAGATCGCCGAGAGTAGTCATCAAGAGACCTGCTCCTTCTGTGAGGTGGAACATTGGTTCGGGTGACACTGCCATCAAAGGAGGTAGACTTTTGCATTGTGGGTTGGGTGGACCCACGTCTCTGGCTTCGGTTGGTCTCCGTGTCATCCTCCACGTATTCTATGAGCGGTTCATTGAGGCGCCCTGACAAGCTCCTCCGTAGTGGCTTGCGACCTCTTTCCTGCTTTTTGGCCTGAAATTTATCCCGTAATGTCATGCGTCTGGCTGACATGGGCGAAAGCTGATGAGATGAGCTGTAGAAAGTGCTCCGGATCACGCTGCCACGAGGGATTCGACCCGCATCGCTCCCTGAACCTTCATCACCATCAGAAAAGTGGAGAGACGGACTACTGCCCTTGTCGAACCTTCTTTCATTCTGAGGTGTTTGAAGGTACGAAACATCTGATGAGGCAACAGACTGCCTACTCACACTCCGTTCTAACACGCTCCTCCTACCAGCCAGCTCGTCATCGTCCTCCTCCTCCGCCTCCCCAAACGTTACTTCTTCCTCCTCATATGGACCTTGCTGAAGTTGGGTGAAAGGTTCTGGGATCCGCGCTCTCTCGCTCAAAGGGTCATAGTCCTCCTCGGTTTCTTCTTCCTCCTCCTCTGTCGGGCTGTAGTGCTGGAAGAAGTCCCAAGAGTCAGCCTCATCGTAATCGGATGATGAACCACTGCTCATAGAGGTGCTGCTGTTCTGCTGGTGTTCACGGGGAACCGTCACTGCGGTATCTCTGAGAGGAGCATCGAGGAGCTCTGGAATTTGCCTTAACGTGAGCACGGAACCAACACAAGTCAAGGACCGCTGGGGGTAAAGAAGCAGAAGACGTTGCTGTAGACGAATCGCAGAATCTCTCATTTCCCCAATGAGTTTGATGAATCATACAAAACAGCTCACCTGCCATTTTCTTTTTGAGATGAACAGCTTTAAACCCTTTGTGTTAATTTCATCCGTGTCTTCTCCTGCATGTTCATCCTGATCACAGGAAATTTTTGTTTGATTTTCATTCTCAAGTTGAAGCACTACTGAACACCCAAAAGCTGTTTGCTATATGATATTTAGGCCTCACCTGGAACCATTCATGGCTCAAGCATTCAAAGGCAGATGGTCGCTTCCTATACAGGGCAGAAAATGTTGAATATTGTGCACACCAAAAGTGAATATTGCTTCATTATTATCATCCTTAAGAATTCTTTGCTTTTTGGATGAAACAAATCATTGGGTTCTGCAACCGTATAGTGAAGTACATGGGTGGTGTTAATTTCGACTTCAGTCGTCATTAACAAAGAAAGGGATAGTTCAATAATTATGGCTGGACCAGGGCTTACTCGGGGTCTGGTTGAAGAAGACTGCGAAGAAAGGCCTGGGCTTCAGGACTCCTACTCATGACGTCAGGGGCATCCCAGTTTAGGGTCCCTTCTCCCACTCTCAGCAGTGTAGCACGGTCCGTTTCACCCGCAAATGGGCAACGACATAACAGACTGCCAAAGGAAGTAATAGAAAAGAAACAGTATGGACTATGTATGGATAGTTTTATGCTATCGTACTGTATGATGCCTGGCAATATACATACCATAAATAGGTCATCACACCCACAGACCTGTTACAGATGGAAAGATGTTTCTGTTATCTCGCACAATACAGGCAATTTTGAAGGAATTACAAAAGAAATGTTATGTAATATATGACGTTTAGGGCAGTAATAGAGTACTATGTTAATCTTTTATATTTTCTTAATAATATTACAGTTATGGGCGGCCCAGTGGTCGAGTGGTTAGCGCGTTGACCTCACAGTAGAGAAGTCATGGGTTTGATTCCAGATCCGGCCTTCCTGTGTGGACTTTGCATGTTCTCCCGTGCCTACGTGGGTTTTGTCCGGTACTCTGGTTTTCTCCCATATTCCAAAAACATGCATGGCAGGCTGATTGAACACTCTAAATTGTCCCTAGGTGCGAGTGTGAGTGTTTGTTCATCTTTGTGTGCCTTGCGATTGGCTGGCAACCGGTTCAGGGTGTCCCCGCCTACTGCCCAAAGACATCTCGAATAGGCTCCGGCATGCCCGGCGACCCTTGTGAGGATATAGCGATTCAGAAAATGGATGGATGGATATTACAGTTATAGAATCAGATAACAGGTTGCAATCCCGCACTGATGTCGGGCTACGACGGGTTAATCTGAAAGCCAATGAGTGCCTATTATTTATCTTAGAACAGGCAAACACACAGTGGCTATGACAGTAAAAAAATATTTTTGATTTTTGATTGCAATGTCGAATCTGGACTTTGACTCACCAAATATCTGTGCCCACACTGACAGGTTCTTGGTGAACAACTTCGGGTGCAACAAACTCAGGCGTACCAAACATGCTGTACTGATGTCTGGATGTGTCTACTTCCTGGCAGAAGCCAAAGTCACAGATCTTGATTTCATCTCTGGGTGGATATACCATGAGAATATTCTCTGGCTGAGGGGGTATACATAAAACAACATAAATAATTGTTTTATTCCAAAAACTCATCATTTTGTCAGTATTGTAACTGAGCTAAAATCTCACTTTGATGTCCAGATGCAAAATGTTCATGCTATGAATATGCCCAACTCCTTCAAGAATTTGCTGGATATATGACTGAACCTGAAATCAAATAATTCACAGTTCTAAACCAACTGAACAAGGAAAAAATACACTGTATGAGAATTTGAATGAGAAAAAAAAAACATTGCTTACCTCTTTCTCTGAGACCAATCCTCTGAGTAACAAATGGTCAACAAGGCTATGAGAACAGCAGCTGGTAATTGCAGATGTTAAAGAAGAAGCTCATCCACTAGGACAAAAGTGGTGATTGCATGAGAGATGAGAGATTGCATTTTTCTTTCTTTTTTAAATTTTAGAAGGGATACATTTCTGTAATGAGCACCAGTGTGCGCCGAGTGCAAAAGAAGTCCAGTAGACAAGCCACCCTTGGATGAGCCAGACGAGAGAGCAAATCTCTCTCCTGGAAGGCTCGTGTGCGGGTGCTACTTCGCAGGGGTAAGAATTTGGCAGCAAAGACTTCACCTGTCCCTCTATGGATCACACGCTTCACTACCCCAAATGTTCCCCTGGGGATGGAGACACTCCAATGAATCATAACAGAGATAAAGCAATGGTAGGACAATACGTATAGCAAGTGACTCACCTTCCAATTTCGTCACCCACATCATAGACAGTGAATAGCTTCCTTCTCTTCCCCAATTCCATCTCTCTCTCCTGAGACCCCAGTGGACCTAAAAAGGATGAAATGATGGATATACGTGTACCACTCAATGTCTGATAATATTTGGTATTTTTAGCAGCCCTGAGAAGAACGCTTATCTATTGCCTCACCTTCCTCAACGGTAAGATGAGCCTGACACGACACATGGCCAGAGTCATTGTAAGAGAAGCAGGTGTAAATGCCACTGTCTTCAACTTCCGGGCACACTATGGTCACTGAGCAGCGGGCGGCATGTTGAACGATCTCCACATTGTGACTGGCTGGAAGTTCTTCCCCATCCTCCAGTAAGAAAGCAGAGATCAAACTGAGCAGAAACGTATGCTAAAATGAAGTGATATCAGGAGTGATGATTGAACTTAAAAGTTCAATCAGTTTTGGTAAGGTTTGGAATGGTAAACTCTGATCTTCTGCTTCCACCAAGCGGGATGTGTAAGCAGGCATATTTAAAAATGTGGTGTCATAAAAGCAAGGTGAGATGTAGCCTTCTATTGAATTAACGTAGACACACTAAATGAAGCAACAAAGGATGACATGCAGCATGTTGTGTCTCTGTTAACCAATCAATGGATAAAAGTACATCTAGCACAGGGCTGGGCAACATCAGCCTGTTCTATACTCTATGTGAATCAGGCTTGCTGAGGATTTCCATTCTTGGGAGCGTTTTTACTTGTCGCATTCATCTCACTGTTTTTCCTGCGTTCTGACTGTTCAAGTATTTATGAGGATTTTCTGCAGTCACAGAAACAATGAATTAAAGACAAAAACAGTTTTCACATTGATTCATGAATTTGTTTAGTGTCCCAGAGAAACTAACATATGGGGGCTTACTGGAAATTAAAATTGAATTCGAAGTAATTCAAATAATAACAAATCAGTCAAAGTGCCAAAGAACGGAACTTCTTATTGAATCTCTCCAATCACAAACAAAGTGTGCCTACCTTGTACCACTGTATCTGTGGCATGGGCCTTCCTGTTATGATGACGGTAAATGTGGCTGGTTGGCCTGGTTCAACACACACATCTTCAGGGGGTACTTGGATGAAGGGAGGAACTGAACAGAACAGCAAAGAAAGTCACACAATATTTGAAAAGAGTGTTTCTTTATATCTTAGCACAGCAGAAGACGATTACCATCTGTTATTTCCTGCATTTGCTCCGAGATGTAGATTTCTTCTTCTTCTTCCTCCAGGTAACATGGAGCCTGCGGCTGTGCTGGCTGATCCATGCATGCTGGCTGAGGAACCTCTGCAATACCACCCTCAGCTCTGAAGACCAAAAAGCAGTCCGGGGTTATTGTTTCAAGTTCACAAGTGAATATTTGGAGGATTGTTCAGATGTTCTGGCCCAGGAATGGGCAACTTAAATGACGGTGGGGGTCACACTTATCATCAGTGCGATTGGTGGTGGCCCACCAATAGGAACATGCACGTCCTAACAAGCTGTATGACAATATTGGTGGGCCACATAGGAACATGCACGTCCTAACAAGCTGTATGACAAAAATGCTATTTTAATAATGGCTAAAATACATGCATATGTGCAAAATAAGTGCTATTAATACTCTGTATATTTCATTTTGAAAATACATTTTTCAATGCATGTTTCAAACAGCCACTATGCCAGCACCAAAGGGTTTGAAGCAAACAACAAAACATCCATCCGTTTTCAGAACCGTTCATCCCCTCATAGGTCACAGGACAAAATATCCGCATACTGTAATTTTTTTTTTCGAGCACAAAGGGTTCTCTTGCATAAATATGACCATTCAAGGATGGCACAACACTGCTGAACAAGAAACCACTATTAAGTGCAAGAACTCGTTTTGTAGATATTTTCCACTTTGAGTTACATTGTAATCCGAATATCATTGAGGTACTGTTTGTCCAAACCGCCCCAAAATGAATAGGCCAACTCCCTTTTTTTTGTTTTAAAGTCCAAGCTTAAAGAAGAGAAATATTGTCATGTTTTACTTACTGTTCATGAATGGGTGGGAAAGTCCCTTCAGCAATAGAAGAGGGGGTGAAATCTGTTTGTAGCCACTTCTTCACAAAGGCAGAGGACCAACCCTCTGAGTCTTCATCTATAAAAACGCAAAATAGCATTTTTTTACGAAATGTAATGATTCAACATACACATGAGTAAAACATACATTACCTGAGATCACGGAAAAAACAGAAACAATGTGTGTCTTACCTGCTGTCTTCGGGCTATAGTGAACCTACAGTAAAGTATCCACCACATCGACAAGATATGGGCATGTGCCCAATCCTGCATGAGAACATCTGCTCAGCGCATGACCATCTCATATTTGTGGTGGTGAAGAGTTAGCTGGGCATGCGTTGACGAGAGGGGGAGGAAAAAAGGGCAACACTGAGCGGTTATATGTTATCATGACAATGATGACTTACATGGTCCGCATGAGGAACCTTCTGCTTTTGGACGAGTAGAAGGAGGAAAATATGAAGGTTATAGAGAATGAAAGGGTAAAAAAAACGGTGTTTTGCATTTAAATTTTAGTACTTAATGTTACTAACTGCAGCATCGCTCGACACGCATCTACTTCAAATCACCAACCACAACATTGGGTACACTCGCAAAATCTTTCAAAAAGAGATCCAGTATATAAAGTCAGAATCAAACATTCTGCCTTTACAAAGATAATAATGCTCAGTTAACACAATTTAAATGATCAGAGAGGCATGAATCTAACATTTATTTTAGCACGTTTTTATATCGGTGTTTGCATGTGTGGAACTACACATGACCTACTGAGAGCTATTTTTATTTTATATGTAGTAAAACGCTACAATGCTCAATTAAACATTGTAACTCTCTATTTGATATCCTTCATACATGTATGTAATGTTGTGGCCAGTGAGAATCAGAAGCATTATTTTAAAACACCTCAATGGTTCAGATGCCTCCATCTTGAGGAGAAAAAGTTGTTGTCCTCTGTGTGGGGAGTGAAAACATGATCAAATATATCCTATGAAGCAAATGTATTCATTCTATTCTATTTTGTAGTTACTATCTCTCAATTCCCTCAGTAAAGTCATGTTTGCTTTTTGCTTTTGTTTTTTTTAATCATCCACGGTATCTTCAACAACTGTCAAGAGTGGTCAATAGCTAGACATTGTAATTACTATACTGAAGTACAAATGAACACGCATCCATGTTTTGTTCTTGCAAGGTATTGTATTCTTCCGCAGCCTAAACTGGTATGCTTGATGAAACGACTCCAGATATAAACAAGTGAAGTGGATAAAAGGAAAAGTAAGTAAATGTCTCAAAATGCAATAAACATGACAGAATGGATGAAATGCCCCAGAGGACTGTCAAGTGACATTATAAAATGAGAACACACATGGATTGTTGTGAATGATGGCATGTGCTTACTTTCCTACATCCTTCATGTAGAAGAAATTAAAGTAGGTCCCAAAGAAAAAGATCCCCACTGCGGCCTCTATGTTCTCTACTGCAAAATTACCTTGTATAGCTCGAACTGTCCTACCTTTTGGAGGTAGGTCGTGCGTTTGGTCACTTTCAGATTCATTCGGGGCGACATATGAGGGGCACAGTCCGGCCTTGCACTTGACACAACCAAACTCATTCGAAAGCTTAAGTGAAATAAACATATTTCATATTTCGTTGTCTTTATGAAGCATCTCTGACAATGACGTATAGTCGGCATGTCGTCCATGTGATCGCATCGTACCTCGCACTCATAAAGTCCGATGTCTGCCTCTGTTGCACTGACGACTGTGAGAGACAATATTCCACTTCGACGGTCATTCGAGACTGAATATTTTTGCGTGTCACTCAACTCTTTGCCATCTTTCATCCACCTGCAGAGGAAAAAGAGGAGTTTATTGCCATCGTTAACTCATCAGAATTTTGCCTTTGCGTTTCAAAGAACAAAAGATTCATCATGATCAGATTGGATGATCATATACAACTCAGTGAGCATTAAAAATATATATATATAAGCTCCTGAAAGTATTGAAGGTGATTAGAAATGCCTCGTAGTAGGATGAAGCATTATTATGAAGCATTCATTTAAGATTAAATTACCAAACACATTTTGTCCATATTTTTACTATACCCATAAAACAGAAGATGCACTTTCAGATATTATACTATTACCATTCTGTACATACCTAATGTTATTACCAATGAATGTACACTGGTGGAAAATTTGCATACCAACCTGATTCGGGGAACAGGAGTTGTGAGAGTGGAACAAGTAAAGTGAAGGTCCTCACTCTTGATCAGACAAGTACTTTCCAGCCGACTAATAAATCTCGGTGGAGCTGAGGAAAACATTTTTAAATGCAGTAAGCACAAAGCCTTTACAGGTTGAACATGTAAAGTGCACATAAAATGATATTTCAATCCCTCTCAACTCACCCTGCACTACAACAGTAGCCAGAGTGCCAGTGCTGCCCATGCTGCTGGTAGCGTAGCACACATATTGTCCAGAGTCTTCTGCAGTCAAACTGTCTAAGATCAGAATGCACGTGCCGGATCTGTCCGCTGTGATGATGTGCCGAGGGTCATCTTCCAACGCAAGGCCATCTGAGAACAAGACATCCGATACGTGTGAACCAATGCAGCGTGATACACTTTTTTAGTTTTCTGACCTTTGAGCCAAGTGATCACTGGCTGAGGCGATCCTGTAACCTGGCAGCTCAGTTTAACTGTCTGCCCGATCTTTGCCGTGCAATCCGACAGCAGTGATGTAAACACGGGGGCGTCTTATTGATGGATAGACACAAACACAGCAGAAAAAGACAACAACATTCATAAAAACGATAGAGGTTTGTAGTAGATCTGTGGTCATCATAATAGGCTTACTGTTAGTGGTCAGGATGGATCGTTGCTGCAGCTCCTTCAGGTCTTTGAGCCAGGAAAGTCTCACCAGTGGTGAACGGCCCTGCAGTGCATATCTCCGCACCGAGCCCCTGTGCTCATGCCACAGCTCCCAAGTCTTCTCATCACCTCCCATTGTTTCCCGTAGCTCGACATCATTCAGCTGTGGTCGGCAGAGTCGAAACGTGAACTTGGATTTGTACGTCAACATGAAGCCACCAAAAGTGAGTGGCACAATGATCACTTTATTACCTTCATTTTATTCTTGAAGGTGTACACATCACAGCTCTTACTGGCATCTCTTCTCAGTTTGCATAGGACAATACATTCCTTGAACAGAAAGACTTGTCTCTGATGCCCTCTAGAGGTCTTTTTAGTTTCTGGCGTTTCGTCCCACACCGTAAAGGCTCCCTTGGAGGAAAAAAAAGGAATTATTTACAATTATTTCCCTTCTGGAGATAACATTTCAAGATGTGGTCGATGCTTTTGCTGACCTGCCGCACAGGCTCGCCCAGGGCAGTCAAAGGGGCGGGGTAGTTTTCAATGAGGGAGACCTGGTGCAGATTGTCAGACCTCCAGGGTAGACAGGACACAAGGGAGAATGCATCCTCCAACAAACAACAGCTCTGGCCGCTTTTGGCCTTGTTCTTAATTAGCTCCTGAAGATAAAATGTTCATTCAGAACAGAGTTAACACCCTGTGGACTAACGCCTGCCATGTTTGAAAACAAACAAAAAAAAGCTATAAACTATTCATAGTTGACCTTCAGCAATGCTTGATATGTCTGAATCCTTTCAACTGGTCTTTGGAGGAAGGTCAAGGTATCTATGACGGGAGCCTCAGGTCTACCAGATCCTGGTAACTCCTGTATTAGAGCAAGAAATGCACTTAAAAATTGTACTGTTGTCTTCTTCTGTGTATGCTGACATACAGAGTATGCTTACTTTGAGATATTGTTGGGTAGCTTTATCAGCAATGCAGGCCTCTGCTTGTGATTGCCCGAGCATGTAGTGAACATACTTTTCAAGGTCCTCAAAGTGAAGGATCAGATGCATAGCGACGTCATCATCTGTAGTACATGCTCTCAACCCAGGGAGAATAGACCTGAAACCGCCGCTTATAATGTCAAAATCAGGCTTAAGCTTACTGCAGAAAATTGGAGTCTACTGTTTGTATTCTTTGTGTCGGATTTTGCAAGTGAGTGTATATACACATTGATACACTGGGTATTGCGTACTTACTTCTCGTGAAGAAGGACAATGTCCTTTATATTTCTGAAAATGATATCTTTTTGGTTGATGATGTGGATAGGAACATTGAGACTTGAGTCCAAGTAATTTAGTGGATGAGAAATAAACAGCCTCATTTCTTTCACAAACTCCTCTTCACCATCAATCAGACCTTGAATCAGTTGGCTAAAGAAAAAACGTTGTAAGGAAAAGGATTTGTCAATAATAGACAGTGCCCTGTAATGCAAACATGCAAACAGACCTCAAAGCCCTCCTATACTCTTCTCCTGTGGAACCGATTCCGTCAAGATCCTCTTGAGGTGCCCGCAACTGTGTGAAGGCCTCCTAAAAAAAAATAATAATAAAATAAAAACCTAACAGTGCTGCATTTATTTCTGACACACCTGAACTGTTTAATCATTTCACCAATTGCTAGAATGAACGTCTAACCTTTCTCTTCTTCTCCAGATAGGCCGGACACACCCATCCCTGGCGGGCAGGGTTGGTTTTGGTGGGTTTGGTTCTCACGAGCCATTTGTCTGGATGGACAGAGTCTAGAACCTCGACGTATTGACCCTCCTTCAGTAAAAAACTGTCCTTGCTTCCACTGTTGGGGTTGCAGGCTGCTCTCGCCACATACATTTCAAATGTCTAACGGAATGAAAAAGGAATTACATGCATTAATATCGTGCAACAAAAATTGTTCAACTGCAAAATAATCCAATAAATCACCAATAGAAGAACATTTAAACAAACCCTAGCACTGAGCTGGCTCCTTTTTCTCAACTCAAACACGAGGGGTCTGGTTTACAAAGATCTGAGTGTGCAAAGATGGGAACAAACTGTATTGCTCAAAGAAACAGCTGATCTACAGGATCAACCAAGCACACCCAGGATACTGTCTGTTAAACAGGCAAAATTGCTGCACAGTTGATTCTGCGTCAAATAGATTATACTTTGGATGTGCAATGTCATTTTTCAAAGCTGAACCGAATTGCGATGGCTGATTTTGTGCTTTAAAATCACACATCTGAAAGACAGATGCAAAGCGTCAAATACAGCCTAGCCAACATAGCACGGAAACAATAAGAAGCAGCGGGGAGAACTTTTCCATTCATGGAACATTTTTGAAATGCCAGAAAAAAATATTGTGACGAACCATATTCCGAGCAGCGCAATTTTTTTCAGCTTCTGGACGGCTGACTTGGAACTATAAGGGGGCGTGCCATAACACAAAACTCCTTGCAAATCTGTGTTTCCTTGCATCCATGGGTCATTTCAGTGAACTATGACAATTGGTGCAGGCCTCTCCTAAAACAGGTTTTCGGATAAGCTGCTATACTAAATACATGGCTCTCCACTTTTTGTACCTGTTGCCAACAATGCATTCAATCTGATAGGGGAAGTAAAGATGTTCTTCAGCACCTGCTCTTCAGGATACAGCTTGCAATCTTTGGAGATCCTGTGTAAAACAGCCCCCAACAGCACATGCAATCTGTTGAAGTCTGAACGTGCACTTTAGCACATGGTATTTGGGGGTAAATCAGGCCCTTATATATGTATCGTTCACAACATATTGGACTTTCCCGCAAGGCCGGGTCATAGCATCATTGGAATATTGTAGAACTTAATAAGCGACCAATTAGAGTGCTCCGATTACTGCTATTGAAGCATAACACATGGCCTTTCAGTATTCAATATGTATGTGTATTTTTTGTATGTATTTTTTTGCTCAGGAAAAGCCTTTGCAATTTCGGCGGCAATTGCAGTTCTTCCAATCAAAAGCACAAACCTCGCATTGATCCTCTTCCCCTTCGGATTCTGATCCCGACACAGTGCTAGCTAAAGGTGTGTGCGCCCTAAGGTGTTTAGGAGATGGTGTTCTCATTTGGCCTTCTTGGGTGCCTATGAATGAGAGGCACACAAAATCATTGATATACTTGATAGGAGTCGAGAAAGAAGTCTTGATGGGGATCGCTGCTTACCTTGGACTTGTAAAAAGGTCTTGAAAAGGCAGGGATCAGCAGAGTGTTGATTCGAGTCCTTCAGAGGCATTTGGTCCGTTGCCTCAGGAAGTTCCCTGTGGTAATATTCATGAAACAAATAAGTTTTCGTCATGAGAATAAAACAAAGCCTCTGCTCTATTACCTTGCTGGATGGGTCGTAATTTCGACAGGTTCAATCACATCTGGTGCAGTGTCATAATCAGATGGACTTGACACTATAAAAGAAAGACAATTTAATGAAGAAAATGGAAAATGTGCTGAGAATAAGATCCACGTATTACTCACCGGAGCTGGTGGCGATGAGAGATGATGGTCTCCTCTTTTGTTGGCCCATCTGAATGTGCTGCTCTGTCAGGTTGTAGGCCTCCCATAAAGAGACGTCGATATTCTCGACATAGTTATCAGCATCGGTCCCCGAAGTTGCCTGATCTTGAATCTGTGTTTTGTCCTCAGGCCTCAGCGGGGCCAACTGCAGTGGAGTGATTGCGGCAAGAGGTGGGTGCACTTGCCTGCCGACTGTCTGAGCAGGCTCTTGCAGCGGAACCACGGTTATGTTTCCACTGTAGGACGTCATACCAAATTTATTGACCACCTCACATGTGTAGATGCCACTGTCACTCAGGGTCAGTTGAGTGATAACTAGAGAGCATACCCCACCCTCTGCGGCTTCAATACCATGTCGTTCATCACGACTGATTGTTTGACCATCTTTAAGCCAGCGCACGCTGTTATAATGTCCTTCTACAGTACACATTAGAGTGATGTTACCATCAACATCTGCACACTGGTTGCTAAAGACCTCTTTCAAGACCGGCCGTGTATCTTTGCCGGTTTCGTAGCCTTTTAAGGGAGTCTGGATCTTGACGGTAGCTTCTTGCATTTGTGGTTCATCTTCAGCACTGATGTAAACCTCTGGTGAAGCATCCTGGACCGGCTTCTGGAGATCCAAAATGATAGGCTGGGTGTAGGGTTTGGTTGACGTTTCATCAAAGAAGCCACCGGGTTCGATTATGGGGATCTCGGTCAAAGCTTCTGAGAAAGTTTCATCTTCAGAGATGTAGAGGAGAGGAATTTCTTCCATCATTTGCACTTCTTGGTGTTCCTCCTCCCTTGCCATTGAACCAGCAGCGACTTCTTTGTCCATTTCAGGCTCTTTTCTCATAGGTTTGACTGGATGTTTTATCAGCTGTTTGGGTAGAACCAACTTCTCCACCAGATCAGCGTCTGCTGATGCTGACTGTTTTTTCTCGAGTCTTGATTCCTCATCTTTCAACGACCTTCCCGTCTCTTTTAGTAGCTGATCTTTGGCCGTTGTCACCATTTGTTCATCTTGATCTGTTTCAGTGTCTCTTGATGGTCGTTTTTCCATTCCTGTCCTAGTTTTGCTCTTTGACCTCACAGGTGGCTTTGGGGGAATAGGTTCAGTCTTTATATCTTGAGGCAGTTCTTTTCTTTTTCCGGAGTGGCTGTCCAGCTGATTTACTGATGGCACTTGCATTACTTGCTCCTCTACTTTCTCTGTGGTCGCGAGTTCTTTTACGTGGTTTCTCAGTGTATTCCCGTCCCTAGAATCATTGAGGGCAGCGTTTGATGGCTGTTGAGTGAACTCCTCAGTTTCTTTTTTAACAACTTCAGGAGTCTCTCTTCCTCCTGCTGCTTTTCCTTTTGACCTCACAGGAGGTAACACACCATCCCCTGTCTTCCCCACGTCACCATCCTTAATAGTAGACTTAACATCTCGTTCCAATGTTTCGATCTCAAAGGCTGTTGTTGATGGTTTCATTGCCTTTTTCTCCTCCTCAACTCTCTTCCACAATATTGTTTCTGGATGGTCATCTAGTATTTCAACTTCTCTGACTTTTTCGAATGGTTTTTCGTTTTGCGTTGGATTTGTTTCCAGAGATTTAAATAACTGCTTCTGTTGATCAACACCATTATTTCCAAGATTTCTGCCTGGTTGACTGAGTTCTGCCTTCATTTGTGGCTTTGCTGGTTGAGTCTTCTCCGTCTCAATTCTTTCAATCACATGCTCCTTCTCATCTAAATTTGCTGGTCTTGTGGAAACCTCCACATTTTGGTCCACATTGTGCACCTGCTGGTTTGAATCCTGAGCATTTTCTGTCTGTTTTTCAGTCTGCATCTCCTTCTGGTCTGCTATTTGCAAAGACTGAATGGGCTGTTTGATATTAAACATGGTCTCTGCATCTTGTTCTACAGCAGTGATCGATGCTTTTCGCACTGTCCTCTTCTTGGGTTCAGGAGGGATTAGGTGTGCATTGGGGAGATTCACATTCTCGGGTTCGGAGGTGGTACTCCGTGTTCGTGGTCGTACCATGGAGGGTTCATTCTTTGACAAAGTAGTCTCAGGTGCTAGAAGGTGAGGGGAAATTGTTCACATTTTGTTGCTGTACATTTATTTTACAGTAAATGTACCAACCTTTTACAGACACCGCTGCAGTGGTTTCTGCATTTCCTGCTTGACATGAGTAACTTCCACTATCTTCTGGATTTAGCTCCTTGATATGAAGTTCCAGCAAACAGCCATCCTTCTTCATCGCATACTTCCTATTTGCTCTTAGTGGAATTCCATTTTTTTTCCACTGTGCCGACACACCAAGTGTGGACAGTTCACAACACAAGACTGCTGTGGCTCCCTCTTCCGTTTCGGTGTTTTGCAATTCTTTCTTGAAAAAGCAAGGCAGTTCTAGAATGCATAAGGGAAATAAGTAAAGTCACGACTTGTCCCTTAAAATAACATATACAGTACTCACCTACGGAATATTTGCATCACTAACAAAAAACATTGATATTTTGTATTACCAACAAACATTTGTCAGGGTACATGTCCTGCATTTACCTAATATAGTAGCAGTGGGTGGATTTATCTCGTCAAATAAAAAACAGAACCGTAAAACAAAATTCTGTCAGGAAATCAGTAAATTGATGCACACACCTTTGACAGACACAGTTGCAGTGGTCTCTGCACTTCCTGCTTGACATGTGTAGCTCCCACAGTCTTCAGGATGGAGCTCCTTAATATGAAGCTGGAGTAGACAGCCATCCTGTTTAATGTCATACTTCCTGTCAGCTTTTAATGGCAGCGCATTCTTCTTCCACTGTACTGAGACTTCAGGTTTCGACAGCTCGCAAGACAGGACAGCTGTAGCCCCCTCGTCTGCCTCTATCCTTTGTAGCTTTTTCTTGAACAGTGGAGGCAGCGCTGCAGAAATAGGCACATATTAAGAAATAATTTATTCTACTGTGGTAAAGGGTGAAGGCTTCACAATGCCATTTTGAAGATGGACATCTTAAAATCAGGCATCTCCATAAATATCAAGTGATGACTTTTGTGAGAGGTAACATGCATCCACCCATTTTCAACACCGCTGATCCTGAACAGGGTCACGGGGGGTGCTGGAGCCTATCCCAGCTAACTCCGGGCGCAAGGCGGACTGCACCCTGAACTCGTTGCCAGGCAGTCGCAAGGTACATATAGAGACGAACAATTATTCACACCCACATCCACACCGTCACTGAGTGGGAACCGATCTCACGCTGATCGCTCACTAGTCGGGGCGAGTGTACCACTACACCATCAACGACTGAGAGGTAACATAAAATGTGTATAACATACAGACCTTTGATAGAAAGAGTTGCTGTGGTTTCTGCACTCCCTGCTTGACATGTGTAGCTGCCACTGTCCTCAGGTTTAAGATCCTCGATGTTGAGCTGAAGAAGGCAGCCATCTTGCTTCATCTCATACTTCTTGTTGGCCCTGAGAGGCAGATTGTTTTTTTTCCATTGCACTGGCACCCCAGGTTTAGAGAGCTCGCAGCATAAAGAGAATGAGCTTCCCTCATCTCGCTCTGCACTTTGTAGGCCTGTCACAAACAACGGTGGGAGCTCTGGGGGAATTCAACACAAAGAGAGGACTTCAAGATGACCAACAAAATTAGGTGACAGAAATTGTTTGAGACACATGACCGCTATGCACATTAGTGGTTGATGAACAGGGATGGCAAGGACTTTTCTGCTGGCTGAAAGACAAATTTCAGCCATTTAAATTGCTAAATAAATCTATACTGCCCAGGCCATTCGGAATCAGTAGTGCTGGTCGATTTGACTCAAACTACAGCATATCAGCAATGGAAGTGATTCTCGACTCAATATGATTTAAAACTTGTCCTCCCAGGGCCAGCTCTGGCCCTCAATAATGTCAGTATTTTTCTGTGCTGTGATTGATTGATCAGAGCAAAATAGCCAACTTTGACTTGCAATACAGTTGTGTCGAGATTTATTGTTATTGATAGAAAAATTAGTACATTTGGTGAGTAATTTTTCTGTAATTTTGTCATTTTAGATAAATATTGGTTCACCACTGATTTCCATACAGTACGTACGGTACCTTTCACTGATAAAGTGGTTGCAGTCTCTGCACTTCCTGCTTGACACGAGTAACTACCACTGTCCTCCAATTTGAGGTCCTTGATGTTGAGTTGTAGAAGGCAGCCATCCTGTTTCATCTCGTACTTCTTGTTGGCCCTCAGAGGCAATTTGTCTTTCTTCCATTGCACTGGCACTCCAGGTTTCGACAGCTCACAGCACAGAGAGGTTGAATGTCCCTCTTCTATCTCCACTTTTTGTAATTTTTCTTTGAAGAATAATGGAAGCTCTAAAAAGTGGGTATATAATTGATCAAACTTCGATATATGGGTTCTAATCAGAACGGGATAAAATTGCTTATTTTTAACATAATAGATTGACTTGTCCATAAATGTGATACATTGCAAAATTTAAATGCAAATTTCACATGTAAACAATTCAATGTATTTTTTAAATTTTACTCTTCAATTAATTAAAAGTATGTGTGTCCACCAAACAGAAATACCTCTCACAGCTATAGTTGCAGAAGTCTCTGCACTTCCTGCAAAGCATGTGTAGCTTCCGCTGTCTTCAGGTCTGAGATCAATGATGATGAGTTGTTGAAGGCAGCCATCTTGTTTCATCTCAAACTTCCTGTCATCCCTCAGAGGCAGTCTGTTCTTTTTCCATTGCACTGCCACTCCAGGTTTCGACAGCTCACAGGACAGAACGGCTGTGTCTCCTTCTTCTGCCTCCATACTTTGCAATTCGTTTTTGAATGAGATTGGGCGCTCTGGAAAATGATTATTAAAATAGTGTTATCAAGAATTAGGGTGAATTACTTTCTCTGAAATGAACGCACCTCTTACAGACAGCGTTGCAATGGTCTCTGCACTGCCTGCTTGACACGTGTATCTACCACCATCCTCAGGCTCGAGGTCACTGATGTTGAGCTGAAGGAGGGAGCCATCTTGTTTCATCTCAAACTTCCTGCTGGCCTTCAAAGGCAGCCTGTTCTTCTTCCATTGCACTGGCACTCCAGGTTTAGACAATTCACAGTATAGAGAGACTGAACCGCCCTCCTCTGTCTCCACACTTTGCAATTGTTGTTTGAAGAATAAGGGCAACTCTATTGGACAAACCATTGATCAAACTTCATTACATGTTTGGGATCTAATTAGATCAGCCTCACATTTAAGCATAACATTGAGTTAATGTTCTGCCCAACATACAGTGCAGAGTGAATATGCAGCACTTAGTCATACATTACCATAATTATTTTGGTGTTTTATTTTTTGGTTAGTTTGACTACTCGGCTGCGCATCGAAAAAAAAATATGTTAAATACCTCTCACAGTTACAGTTGCTGAACTCATTGCACTTCCTGCTTGACATGTGTATGTTCCGCTATCTTCAGGTTTGAGGTCCATAATGTTCAGCTGAAGAAGGCAGCCATCTTGTTTCATTACATATTTCCTATTGGCACTCAGAGGAAGCTTGTTCTTTTTCCATTGAACTGGCACTCCAGGTTTAGACAGCTCACAGGATAGGAAGGCTTTATCTCCTTCCTCTGCCTCTGTACTCTGCAAGTCAGCTTTGAATATAACTGGCAATTCTGGGGAAAAATTATACAAATATCCATATGGATATGTGAAACGTTTGAAATGGATAGGAAGGAACACAACAGTGGTCAAATATGAGCAGTATATAAAAACAGTACCTTTTATTGAGCTCCCAAACTGTCAAACGGACATACCTTTTACAGAAACAGTTGCAGTGGTTTCTGCGCTTCCTGCTTCACATGTGTAGCTAGCTTCATCCTCAGGTTTGAGGTCACTGATTGTGAGCTGCAGGAGGCAGCCATCTTGTGTCATTTCATACTTGTTGCTGGCTCTTAATGGCAACTTGTTCTTCTTCCATTGTATGGCAGTGTCGGGCTTCGATACCTGACAGCGCAGGGAGGCAATACCTCCCTCCTCAGCCTGTACATTCTCTAAGTTTTCTTTGAAAAATGGTGGAAGTTCTAGGAAAGATGAGATTCAACTTTGAGAGAAGCGCTCAGCAGAAAATATAAGAAGCCTCTGTTCCTACCTTTCACGATTATAGTTGCAGTTGATTCTACACTTCCTACATGACATGAGTAGCTGCCGCTGTCTTCAGGTTTGACGTTCACAATGCTAAGCTGGAGAAGGCAGCCATCTTGCTTCATCTCATACCTCCTGTTGGCCCTCAGAGGAAGCTTGTTCTTTTTCCATTGAACTGGCAATCCAGGTTTAGACACCTCACAGCTCAAAGAAACGGAACCGCCCTCATCCACCCGCACATTTTCCAAATCTTTCTTGAAGAATGGCTGTAGCTCTGGGAAATAATGGACATTAAATGCCCAAAATGTTAATACAACGAAAGCCAAACTGAATCCATCATCCATCAATCAGTTTTGACACTGCTTGTTCTCATTAGGGTCAGGGATGAGCTGAAGCCTATCCCGACTAACTTTGGTAAAAGTGGGGTACACCCTGGACTGGTCGCCACTCAGTTGCAGGGTACATATGTGATAGATATGCAGCAAGATCGATCCATAAAAAACTACTGCCAGCCTGCACGGAGCCCTGAGATGAAGCCCATATAACACTTTTGGGAGAAAATGCTTTTGTATATTGTACAGCATGCGCTTGATTTGCTTGATGAACTTCAACTTACCTTTGACTGTAACAGTAGCAGTAGTTTCTGCATTTCCTGCTTGACACGTGTAGCTGCCACTGTCCTCAAGTTTAAGCTCCTTGATGTGAAGCTGAAGGAAGCAACCATCCTGCTTCATCTCGTACTTCCTGCCAGCCCGAATTGGCAAACTGTTCTTCCTCCATTGTACTGGCAACCCGAGTTTGGACAGTTCACAGCACAGGATGGCCGAACCGTCCTCCTCAGTCTCAACGCTTTGCAACTCTTCCTGGAAGAATGGTGGCAGCTCTGGAGACAGAAAAAGAAATGATACAAATGGACACACCTTCACTTTGGAATGCTGCATCCCTCCCTGTATTACCTGTCACAGTAAGCTTGGCACTGGCCTGTGCATCGCCTGTATCACAAGAGTAAACTCCAGCATCCCCGGGCTCCACGGCATGGATCAGCAGTAAGTTGACTTTTCCCTCTTTTCGTATCTCAAATTTGTCGCCATTTCGGAGAGGGATATGGTTGCGCCTCCAGGTAACCGGGGTGGTGAAGTCAGAGGTTGTGCAGGACAAAGTAGCAATTTCTCCTTCCGATATTCGAACATCTTGAGGCTTCTCCTCAAATAAAACTGAAAATCAAAACATCTCTTCAGATTCACAAATCTTCCCAATAGGGCTTGATAGATACATGTCTTCCCACCTTTGAGCTTTGGCACCACTGAAAGACTTGCCGATGTCCTTTCTTCCCCGATCACAAATGCCACAATGCCTGTCTCGTCAGGTGTTGTCATGGTGAGAACAAGTCGGTGTGTGCGACCTTGGCATGTCATCTGGTTCATATCATTCCTCTGCAGTGGACTGGAGTCCAGCCACCACACACCCTCATTCACATTGGCATGGCTCAGCTCGCACACAAACATGGCATCTTCCCCCGCAGTTACAGTGATGTCTTTAAGCTCTGTAACGATTCGTACCCGCTCTGTGGAGGAGAAAGACAGAGACAGATACCGGTGAAGCAATGGAGTGGGAGATTTTTTACAATGCTGTAATGATATAAACTGGGGGAGATTATTGCACTTTGACATACCCCTCACAATCAACTTGGCGGTGGTCTTCTTGCCCCTGGTGATGCAACAGTATTCGCCAGCATCCTCCAGGTTCAGCTGCTTGATCGCCAACATATGCATAGGTCCTTTTTTGGTAATAATTAGTCGTGGCCCAGCTTCAATGACCGTATTGTCCTTCTTCCAAGTGACAGGGACATTCGCGCTAGAAACTTCACATGACATCAGCACCGATTTGCCCTCCGTCACCGCTTGGCTCTCCAGTTCCTTCTCAAAGAACACTGATGCCGCCGCTAGCATAAGGAAAAAAACGAGATCTTCTGTTACTTGAGACGACAAGACAATTAAAGTGGGGCAGCATTTGAGAGGCAACATATAATAATCTATAGTGCTCTCACATTAAAGATTCCTCACAATTATTAATATAGTCTGACAATGAATGATTAAGATTTCATCTTTCAAGCTAAACCAGTTTTATCTTGCTACGCTTGCCAGTACCTAAGATATGAGTTTTTGGAAAGTGACAAAGACTTATGTAAGAACCTGTTTCATATGGTGAGTGTTTAATTGTTTTCTCTCTCTTGTTCTCTTCTTGACAAATAAAATGATTAAAATAACCAATTTATGTTAACTCACATTAAGCATGTTTACTATACTTACTGTATACACTATTTCGTGCTGCGTATCGCATCATTTTACGGTAAGAACATTCCCACTGCCTTACATCTACTTCAATGACGGCCTTGAAAAAGCACCGCAGTGTCTTTTGACACAATTGAAAAAGCCATCAGTTCAGGCGACAACATTTCAATGATCGAATACACAAGAGGATCATCAGTGTCTGTGCAAGCTCTGTGACAAAAACTCAATAATCATTAGAGTTTAGTACATTTTCATGAACAATAATTTCAAAAACAAGAAGCATATCGAATACCTCTCACATTCACTTCAGCAGTTGTCTTCTGCTCGCCAAAGACACAACTGTACTCCCCAACGTCCTCCGGCTGGATGTTTCTGATGCTCATCTCAGCTACGTTCTCCTTGAGGGTCATCTGATACCTCCCACCTTGATGGAGCTGGTCCTCTCCCTTCCACCACTGTACAGACATCCCACTCCTGGACAGTTCACATCTTAGGGTCACGTTGCCTCCCTCAGCGGCCTCCTGGTTCTTCAAACCCATCTTAAAGGTGAGTGGAATAGCTGTGGATGTAGGATGGAGAAAAGTTGGACTATTCCACAACATGCATACTTAAACGTAGCGATCATGTCTTACGTGTCACAGTGATGTTGGCTACTGTCTTGGTATCGCCATAGATACAGCTGTAGACTCCACTGTCATCCAGCTGAGTGTTTTTGATGGTCAGCTCCAGCATGCTGTTTCGATTTCTTAGCTGGTATTTGAAATTATTCTTCAGCAGCTCCTGGCCTTTCCTCCACTCAACAGAAAGGCCGGGCTTGGACAATTCACATATCAATGTCACGCTGTTCTCCTCTTCCACTTGGAGGTTCTTTAACTTGGTTTTGAATGTGATGGGAGGTGCTGGAAATACAAATTATTGTGAACATCCGGATGGGACAGTTGGTTGTATGATCGTAGATGTGAGATCACTCACCTATCACGATGAGCTCAGCAGTGGATTGGCTGTCTTTTGTCTTGCAAGTGTACTTCCCAGCGTCACACTCTTCTACATGGTTGACAAACAGTTTGGTGAAATTTCCCTCCTGTTTCATTTCATATTTGTAACCGGGCTTAAGAATGACTCTTCCTTTCCTCCAGTCCACTGGTGCTTCAGGTTTGGACAACTCGCAGCAGAACACTCCACTGTCACCTTCCTTCAGCTCCAAATTCTGAACTTCTTGCTTAAATGTAACCGGAAGAGCTGGGGGAAAGCAACACATGAAAATCAAAGAGATTTACATTAGCTGGACACTGTCTTAGGTACACATTGGATGTGTTTACTGTACAGGGTGTAGATGTACCAAAAATAGCACTCCCTATTTTACTGTCTGTGTGACTATATTGCGTGTATCATTGCTAATATTAATTCATTGGGTGGAATGGCATTCCTGATTCTGGGTGTTCACGTGAACTCACCAAACAAACGGTGACTTTTTTCACAGGTAATGTGTTTTGACTTGACTGAAGCCTACCTCTTACTTTGATCTCAGCGGAAGTAACAGCTGTACCACCAGAGCAGCTGTATTCGCCAGTATCCTTGAGAGTGAGATCTGCGATCAGCATCTCACACACCCTGCCCTCTTGCTTCATCTGATATTTGGCTCCCTCCCTCAGGAGCTGAGCATCCTTTCTCCACTCAACCGGGACTCCTGGTTTGGAGAGCTCGCAGTAGAGCATCACACTGCTCTCCTCCACTGTTTCTTGGTTCTTCAACTTTTGCTTGAACGTCACTGGAATTGCTGTGGGGGCGGGGGACATTACTGTGAGGAATGTACACTATATGACCACAATAGTAAATGTGTTTGTGCAATTCAATGAGACCTAATGGCGCTAGCAAATAGTCTCTCTTTGACAGAGAGTTACTGTTTATTTTTAACCATGGGGTTATTATTGTTGTTGTAGTTTGCAGTGGTGTACAACTCCCTTGATTCGTTCTGAGAGCTTTTGATTATCCTGTTTGTAAATATATTTATTTAGGTAGGTCTGAATCATTGGTTCTCTATTTCTGCTCTGTGATTGGTTGGAGTCGAGGTTATACCCACTTCTCGGCCAAAGTCAGCTAAGATAGCCTCCAACTCACTAGTGACTAATTACTCAGATATGTGATGTAAAGGATGGAAAATGGATGGATGGCTGCAGCGAAACAAAGTAAAATAAAATACTGTAAACAGCTCTCAGTGTGATGCGGTTCACTTTGACACCACCACAGCATCCTTAAGCATAAACATATTGAAAACGTCCTTTTTGATAGGGCTAACGCTGTGGGCATTAGTTGTACAAAATGTTTACGTATGTCGATTTATGTTTCCATGAGGTGCAGCGTCTCTCACCGGTTATGATGAGTGTCGCAGTAGTTTTAATGGCTTCACAGATGCAGCTGTAAACACCACTGTCTTCAGGCTGACTCTTCCCGATGAGCAGCTCGAGTGTGGAGCCTCTCTGCTTCAGCTGATACCTCTCACCAGTGGTTAACAACTCATCTCCCTTCATCCACTGAGCAGTGAGCCCTGCTTTGGAGAGCTGGCAGCAAAGTGTTACCCCGTTGCCTTCTTGCACTTCAATGTTACTCAGTTCATGGAGGAATTTGACAGGTCGTTCTAAGTGGGGGAAAAAAGAGATATTTCCAAAGGTAGAACACTATAATATTTTATCACTGTTCAAAAGTGCAGCTGTTACTGTTCTGAAAAAAAAAATTGGTTCAGACCCCAACAACTAACCTACGCCTCATCTCCAATTTATCCTTCATTTTCAAAGTCCTACAAAAAGTAGCCGCCACTAAAATTCACTCTCATTCAACACACAACAGCCTTTCATTATTATTATTATTATTATTATTATTATTATTATTATTATTATTATATGATCACAAATGCACTGCTGTATACTGACCATTCACTGCGAGGCAAGCTGTAGTAGTTTCTTCACCACAAGTACAGGTGTAATCACCAGCGTCTTCGAGAGTGACATTATTAATAGTCATCTCCAGCTGCAAATCCTTTTTCCTCATCTGGTACTTGTCTCCTTGCCTCAACACCAAGCCTCCTCTCCTCCACTCCACTGAGTGGGCAGGTTTGTTGAGCTCACAGCGCAGAAACACGCTGTTGCCTTCAATCACCTCCTGGTTAGCAAGCATGAGCGTGAAACATGGTGGTAAACCTGTCAGGCAGAAAAAGTCTTACAGAAAAAAAAAGGAACAAAAATACGTGAGGACAAGCTGCTGCCAGGAATTTTGGACCCGCCACATCAATATTCCATATTGATGTATATAGAGACGCGGTACCACTTGCGCTTGTCTGTATGATCAAGTTTTTTGTGTGAGCAAGACAAACAGTGTTAGATTAAAGATATATGGAAAGAAAGAAATGATCCGTATTCATTCTCACGCTAATAATCCAGAAGTGCATTGTATTATCTGATATTCATCCTTCAGAATCACAATGTACACACCAAATATTCCAAGGGCAGGGCACTGCAGTCCTGTGATTTTATGTGAAACGTAAAATAATTTGCCCAACTACTGTATTTGGTTTTACGTAGGTTACATTAGTATCTTATTGACAAAAATTATCGTTTTTAATTCATTTGGCAAACAAAAGTAAAGCAGTATGTTTTAATATGATACCAGGTTGTGGTGACTCACCCTGGACCGACAGCTCTGCAGTTGATTGGCTGTCCTTAGTTTTGCAAATGTATTTCCCAGCATCGCTGTCTTGCACGTTGTTGACAACCATCTTGGTGTAAGGCCCTTCCTGCTTCATCTCATACTTGCCTCCACTGCTCAGAAGTACACGACCTTTCCTCCACTCCACTGGAGCTCCAGGTTTGGAGAGCTCACAACAGAAAAGCCCGCTGTCGCCTTCCTTCACCTCCAAATTCTTGAGCCCATGTTTGAATGTGACTGGAAGTGCTGTTTGGCAGAGCACATGCAGATTCATGTCATCAGCATCAAAATCGCATACGATATTTTAAATTTACTGGCGTGTTGATTTTACTGACATTTCACTTTGAGTTCGGCAGTTGTTTTCTCATCTCCTGTAATACAGCTGTACCTCCCCGCATCCTGTACTTCAACGCTGACAATGGTCAGCTCAGCTGTCTTCCCTTCAAGCTTCAACTGATACTTTCTTCCGGACATCTCCTCAGACAGCACCTGTCCATTTTTCTGCCATTCTACTCGGGCATCTGTTTTTGACACTTGGCAGCGGAGCGTCACACTACTCCCCTCCTCCGCCTCCTGGCTTTTCAGACTCCCTTTAAACGTGGCGGGGATCGCTTCGCGGGAACAAAGAAAATGTTCCAGTTTGTGGCATACTATCAAGCAAAACTACTGATGACCAATAATCTGCTATATGGAGAACGGATGGTAACACTGACATCAAACAACGACACAAGTATTCAAATATATGGAGCTGGTCTCACATTTGAAGCTTCTATAAGATTTTAGCGTGGTCCTGTGGTATTTTTTTCCATTTAAGTGCTCAGAGATCTTGTAATATCAACAAGAAAGATTTAGTGAGAACTAAGTGGCCTAACCCAATAGCTGATTAGTAAATACAGTGTTTTTGCCATGTCCTAAGAAGTTCAGTAGCCATAGTGGCAACATTTTAGAGCAGTGCTTTTCAAATTGAGGATCAGCTCCCCTATGGGCTGCCAGAGAACATTAGGGGACTAAATTCCCTTGTTTCAGATCATGTAGTCTCTTGAAAGACAGTTATTTACGATACAATGCTGAGCAATCGTAGGCATAAGAACTTTTGTACTTAAGATTCCGTACTTGCGTTTCAAACTAGTCACAGCAAGTAACCTCCGTATACTGGATAACATACCAACGACTTTAACTGTGGCCTTTGTCTTCTGGTCTCTGCAGACACAGGCGTAGATGCCGCTGTCCTCTGGCAGAGCATCTCTGATCGTCAGCGTGAGCACGGAGCCTCTCTGCTTCATCTGGTACTTTTCCCCATCCTCGAGAAGCTCACCGGCTAGCCTCCACTCCACAGCGACACCAGGCTTGGAGATCTCACAAGACAGCGTGATGTTGTGTCCTTCTTCCACTTGAAGGTTCTTCAGCTTTTGCTTGAAGGTGATGGGGAGTGCTAAAGAGCAACACGGAAATATGCGTATCACGCCTCACTAAATAATAACGCACTTATAAAAGTGTCTTTAAAATGTACATTGTATTTTGATAAATGAATCTTAATACCGTACTTATTAATACCAATAACAAACACATGTCAGGTTAACAAAGCAGTATACCATTCACAGTGAGGGTTGCTGTGGTCTCTATGCTCCCACAAATGCAGGTGTAGATGTTGCTGTCTTCTGGCGTCACATCTAGGATCCTCAGTTCGATCAGTGTGTCACTCTGGCGCATGTGATATTTATCACTATTCTTGATGAGCTCATCACCCCCCTTCCACCACTCCACAAAGAGAGATGCTTTGGAAAGCTCACATCGCAACGTTGCCATATTGCCCTCCTCAAAGCTCACGTTGTGCAGTTTCTGCTTGAAGGTGAGTGGCAGAGCTAAGGAACGATATGCAATATTTAGTACCAATGAATCAAGATTCTGAGGAACTTTGTCAATAGAATACTTGATACCTTTGACTTTGACAGTGGCGGATGTGACCTGATCAGCACACAAACACTTGTAAAGTCCACTGTCTTCAGGAACAGCTTTCCATATCAAAAGCTCTAATGTTGTCTCCCATCTTCTCATCTGGTACTTCACTCCATTCTTCAACACTTCTTGGCCTCTCATCCATTCTATTGGTATTCCAGATTTGGAGAGTTCGCATCGCAAAATGACATTGCTCCCTTCCTCCGCATGCAGGTTCTTCAGTTGCTGGATGAATGTAATCGGAATGGCTAGAAAGCAAGAGGAAAAAAATAAGGATGGGAGGTTGGTGAAAGTGAAAAGAAAGTGGAAATGTTAAAATGTTGAATGAAAAAAAAAGAACCGACGTAGACCACGATCAGGTACATGGCTTTACCTTGCACTTTGAGCCTTGCTGTAGTGTGGTGGCCCCTGCATTGACAGGTGTACTCCCCCGAGTCCTCCGGCTTCACAGCTCGGATTATGAGTGAATTGATGGTCTGTCTCTGTTTCATCACATACTTGTCTCCAGGCCTGAGGCTCTCACTGCCTTTTTTCCAGTGGAATTGGACTCCCGGCAGAGAGTATTCACAGGTCAATGTAGCGGTTTCACCTTCTCGGGACTCTACGTTCTGCAGAGGCTTTGTGAATTCAGCTGGGATAGCTAAAAGGAGGTAGGAACATTAGACAAACTTTGGAAAGCAAATTCAAGTTATCGTTTCAAAATATTATCTGAAAATTCCCATTGATACCTTTGACGGTTACAACAGCCCTTGTTGAAACAGATCCAGCACTGCACTCATACACCCCAGCATCACTTTGGCAGACCTCCCGAATTGCCAGCCGAGCCTCACATCCCGAACGACTTGCAAAGTACCTTGACGAGTTCCACATCAAGCAACAATCTTTGTACCATAGGATATGGCATGGCTTTGAGGTCACGCAGGACAAAACCAGACCCCCTCCTTCAATAGCCTCACAGTCCTCGAGGGCTTTGCAAATGGTTGGACGTCTCTCTGGCAATGTGAACAAGTCAAACCAACTCAAGACCAAATGAAATGGAACGAGAACATCAGAATAAAGACGAATCCTCACCTCTGACCAACAGTGACGCATATGATCGTTTGTCACCGGCTGAAAACGAAATGGTACCAGTGTCTTTGCGGGCTAACTGTCTAAATGTCAGCGTGTGGTAGCCACCCGCCAGCATCTGGATTTCATTAAGCTGATTATTGTAGAGCAGAGTCTCATCCAAGTACCACTTCACTGCTGTGTAGTCACTGGGACAGATTTGACATTTGAAGGTGACTGTATCACTTTCAAGGCACTCAATGTCCTCCAGTTCATCCAGGATCACCACCCTCTGGCCTGTCGGACAAAAAAGAAAAAAGGGATGAGAACTCTCACATAAATCCTTTGTTAATAAGGTTACCAAAATATTCGATGTTATCAGTTTGAGGCAGTGCAGGTATCAGTGATCAATGATGTCTTTTTTTAAAAATACTGAATTCATAACTTGGTCCTGAACTGAACTTAAATGTTGTGAGTTCTTCCTTGTCCCATACCCCCAAAACTTTACGATTTCCCACGAAGCGGATTAAAGTCAGCTGCACACCAAGTGGTTTGGACGAATGCCGTTGAATAATTCCGTTGGGTAGAGTGGTGTGCGGATTCTGGAACAGGTTTTCTGTCTGCAACTACTTCGGCAGTGAGTAGTTCCAATATCCACAGTATCTCCGTTTTTTTCTCCACCAACAGCAAACTATATCGACAGTGGCCAGTAGAATTTTCTTCGTCCTTGACAACGGGGGCACGTTGTCTGAAGTTTAATTAATATTGGTGCTGCTTCAAAATGCCATTTTGTGGTCGGAAAACTGCATTGCTCGGTGGGCTTACGAGAGATGGAAGCTACGATCTCAAACGAGAATTCATTCAATGAGTGACCAGTATTTTCCTCACCCTGCACAGTCAGCTGCGCACGGCTCTGCATGGTCCCAACATCACATGTGTAGATATCTGTGTCCGATTTCTCCAGATAAGTGATGGTGAGCGAAAGCACCACACCCTTCTGCCTCATGACATATTTCCTGCTCGACCTCAGCTCCATCATGCCCTTGAGCCAGGTCACTCGCTTGGCTGGCTGTCTGGTCTCGCACTCCAGGGTCACTTTACCTTTTTCCTCTGCTTTGCTGTCCTTTAACTCCCTCTCGAATGAGTGCTGCAGATCTGGAATGATACACATTTTAGAAATTGTGTGTGAATGCTGAGCGTAGCAATCCTAGGAATCCTGGAGCCTTCTAGTTAGACATGACGCCATGGCAGTTGAATTGGAGATGCCATGGCATCAGTGACATCTTATTTTCTGTTCAAATCTTGACTGAATCTTTTTGAAAAAAAATGTCAAGATTCCAGAACAATATTTTTCTCAAGTACTTACCTCTAACCTCCAGTTTGGCATGGGAGGCAACCCCATCAGCCTGACAGCAGTACTCTCCTGAATCTCTGATTGCGGTATTCTTGACTATCAGCCTTGCCAGGTTCTTTTCCACGCTCATCTTATATTTGTGACTCTGCCTGATCATATGGCCATTTTTCAGCCAGTGGATGCTGACCTCAGGTTTGGTGATCTCACAACTCAGCTCCGCATCCTCACCTGGCACAGTCTTGACATTCAGCAGATCCCTAAAAATGTGCACTGGCCTCTCTAACATCACAGTAAACATATTAGGCGACACACTCATCTATTTTTTTTGTTTTGTTTTGTTATAAATTCATCTTGCAATGATTATAATACTGGCTGTTCACCTTTGACAAAGAGCATTGTCCTGCAGCTTAAGTCTTTAATTCCAAAGATCACTTCTCCAGCGTTGGACAAAACTGCATCTTTAATCCTCAGCTTGTACTTGCGACCATTGTTGATGACCTGGAAGTGGCTGTTGGAGACAACCAGTTGACCGTTGATGGTCCAGAAAGGCTCATCACTAAGAACGTGAGAGAGTTGACATTCAAAAGTGCAGCTTTCACCCTCCATTATGGACGTTGTCTTCAAGCGCTGGATAATAGTGATATGTAAATCTGTAAATGGATCAAATAAAGGTCATTGAAATGACGACCGCCCAGGTATTTTATTTGTACTGCTTTTCAACCCACCATGTACAGTAACTTTAGCCTTGGTTTGGCTGGTGCCCAGATCACAGGTGTACTGCCCAGCATCATCTTTGCTCAAGCAATGAATAATCAGTGCCAGGGACCTTCCGTACTGGCACAGCTCATGCTTTTCATCAGGTGTCAGAACAATACTATTCTTCCTCCAGACTGGGATCACAGACACTTTGGAGACTTCACACTGAAGGCAGACCTCCCCTTGTTCTTCCCCAACTGCATCCTCCAGAGGTCTTAGAAATACCGCAGGGCGCTCTAAAGACAATGGATGCGGTAACACAAAACATAATTTTAGCGTTGGTGGGAATATTTGTCAGAAATAAAAAGTAGAAGAAAACTGTTATTTTGGCTAACCTTTGACCTTTAAAGTTGTCGTCTCCGAAAGAAGGCCAGCTCTAAAGGTGACCCGGCTGTGCTGCGGTCTCAGCTTCTTAATGAAAAGGCTGTGCATGGTGCCCATGTGTTGGATCCTGTTTGTGGCGCTGGAATACAGGCGGACATTGTTGAGGAGCCACTCGACGTTGGCAACCACATAGTTGAGTTCACAAGCAAAACTGGCGACGCTGTCTTCTTCAAGTTCCACTGGTTCAAGGTGTCTGACCAGCTTCAGCTTTCGCACTATGACATAAAAAAATACAGATCAGCTCTCGGCTCAATAAATAAAGAAATCATATTTAACCGACATACCTTCGACTTCCACGTGTGCTATGCTCTGCGAACCCCCCGCCATGCAGCGATACTGCCCTCCATCCATCCCTACCAAGCCATGGATTGTCAGCTCTGCACGTTTCCGATCTCTCCTCATGCTGTACTTGTTTGAAGCCTTCAAAGCTGTACGACCTTTAAACCACCTCACCACCCTGGGGGAGGGGGCAAACTCGCAGCTCAGAGTGACAGAGCTGTTCTCCTTGGCTTCCACATCTTCCAAATTGCGGACAACTTGGAGGGGCCGCTCTACAGGGAGAGACTTACTTTACCAAATGAAATCGATACCTTCACCCTTCTACTGATCACAGGGAGGATGTACTTGGGGGAGGGCTGGTCCACCCACCTTTTACCGTAAGTTCAGCAGAAGAACGGCTCTTGCCAGCGACAAAAACCACAGGCCCCGACATGGAGCTGTCTGTGGAAGTGAGGCAGAGGCTGTGGATGGTACCCTCCCTGTACATATCCACCACTTCGCTGGGCTCCAACACTTTCCCATTCAGGGTCCATCTCGGCGGCCTTCCTGACTTCAGGCTTGTCTCCACTTGGAAGAGCGCTGGCTCTGGTTCTGTCACTTCCATTGAGCTCATGCCCCGAACAATGCTCATAGCCTGCTCTGCATGGACAGTCACAACAAACAGCACACATCTGTTATTGACATACACTGTATATTCTGAATAATGATCTCTTTTTTTTTCCTATAAGAAAAAAAAATGTTTGAAATGAAATCAAAACATCTACTATGTCTTTCAATCTTAGTGATTCAACTGCATCTCCATACGTGTGACATGTGTATACAGTGTCCACATATATCTCACCCTCAACTAGAAGCTGACAACTGGTTTTGTCATCTCCTGTGTCACAGGTGTAGGTGTCTTCATCCGAGGAGCAGACGTCATCGATAGTGAGCTGCCTGTAAACGTCTTGGCTGACAAGTTGGTACTTTTTGCTGGACACAAGCTCCTTTTTGTTCTTGTACCACTTGACTTGAGCGTTGGCTCGAGATACTTGGCACTCCAGCAAGCCTCTGTGGTGATACATGGCTATCTTGACTCTCAGTGGACGCACTATTTGGACTGGCAGCTCTGATGAATAGAACAGCAGGTTGAGTCAGGTACACGTAGCAAAAAGCAGCACCATATCTGTGGTGTGTCAAGATTGAATTTGCACTGTCCTTTCTTTGATGTAGTGGCACATACAGTATATTGCACTGACAAAGTTTTATATTCGATGCACTATACATTTTGTGTGAGTTCCTATAAAATTCAGATGACCCAATGGGACAGCTTTTGAGCCACCGACAGACTCACCTTTGACTGTAAGTGTTGCGTAAGATGAGACGCGTTCCGCAGTGAATCGGATTTCTCCAGCGTGCTCCGGCCGGACCGACTTAAAAGACAGTGTGTGGGTTTTACCTGAAACCATTTCAGAACAAAAGGAAAACCATTATGCCTTATTTGAGGGGATTTTTTAAAAAACAGATTCACATGACATGAATTAATGGGTCATTTACCCTGATGTCTAATCTTAATGTTGTCACCAGGTCGGATTCTACAGTCATCTCTGTACCACCGACCATCCACATCCACTTGGTTTACTTCACACAAGAAGCTGACGGATTGACGTTCCATAGTATCAACATCCTGAAGTTCCTGGACAATGTGGATGTCCCGAGCTGGTCGGAAATTAAAGAAACAAGTCGTAATCATAATAAAATTCCTGAAAACATTGACGTTTTCATGAATGGTTCATATTAAAGCCATTCAGTTTAATCTCTATTCGGCAGTACTAATGAAATCTGAATCTTGAACTTGATCCTGTCATTGTTTTGGACTGTATTGGTGTCAGTCGGTTGTCCAAGCCTACCTCTAACAGTGAGTCTGCCGGAGGTCTGAACGCCATTTGCCTGGAAAGAGATCAAGCCCACATCTGCCAACGCCACTCTATTTAATATGAGCGAATGCGTCTTCCCGTGTGTGCTGATGCGACAGTTGGGCTTGGACTTGAGCCGCATGCCATCCCTGGTCCACACTCCCTCGATGTATGACAAGTTCAGGGTCACCTCAAAGGAGCAGCTCTCGCACTCGGACACTTCTACATCCTCCAAGCCTCTCATCACCTGTAGACGGTTCTCTGAACCATGAAAACAAACATGTTTGTGTATGCACGCAATGATCCGCGTGGGCAATTGAATTCAATGAAGAACTTACTTGCGGCTGCTACTATTCCTCCAGGTATATTGTCTGCCATACTTCTTACAATCTAAATGGTTTTGTTCTGATTGATTGAAACCTTTCAGCCTGGCACTGGAAACACATGTGAGGTACAGGTTAGTCTCTGGATAATGGAGCTACTACTGTATGTTGTATTTTTGCTTTTAGCTAAATTAGCTAGCATTCTTCAGTAATTATAGAACCCTGAATTGCTCTATATTATGGCAACGCTTTCCAGAGGTCACTCCTTGATAATAATGAAGAACTGACTTACAGAATCTACATTGACGAGATCCAATACAGGACCTGTATCAAAATTCTGTCACGACAAAACTAATTGTGCCTTATTGACATTGTTAGAAAGTTTGATAGATCCACTCAACCACATCTCGATAGAGTTCACCAGACTTAAGACGGAAGCCCGTTCAGTTGCAAGAAGATTACGTCATGATCTCAGATGAGTGACCCACTAAAGTTATATATGGGGGTTTTTTTTTTGTTTGTTTGTTTGTAGGTTGCAGTTGTAAAACTGTAATGCTACACACTGAAGGGTGTTTCTACAATGTATTTCAGTTACCTTACTCAAGTACACAAGAGGAGGCAAAGAGGAGGCATCTTGCACGACACCCACACCAATAAAAACTTTGTCATGTGAAATATGAACCACCAATATATTCAGCTTGCAAAAATCAGATGCCATGGTTTGAGAACTCTACTGCTCTGTAGATCTTGACCAGTTGCCGCTAATGTTGATTTCATATCTGCACAATTGGCTTTGAGAGTTTTAGCCAGTAAAAGTCTCAAAGGAAGCTTATGGTGATATTGACATTTTTACGATTGTTACAAAATCCAAGAGAGCCACATAAAAGTCAGTGCACATGGCATTACTACCGCGCGGTGGATCCCCGCGGTGGCATGCTCGGCCTTCCCGGTAACGACGAGTAGTTTAATCTCTGTCACCTCGCTTGACTTAGCTCATCACCACCAATATAGACTCAGCTGTGATGCTATCTCCACCAGACTGAATGCCCTCAATTGAAAAAGGGGAGATTAAAAAAAAAAGCAAGAGACCAAATGAGAGTAGACTGAATCAAATTTGAGAAGTTGGAGCTGATACCACTATCAACAAGACCAGGATGTTTACAAGGTTCTCCAAATAGGGCCAGCTGCAGGACAACTCGGGCAGAGTAACGACAAACCACTGGATATAAATTCAAGATAGCTCAACTTAACGTCTTGGCCTAACATCGCTAGACAAATATCATATTCCAAAAAGTGTCTTTATAAATCACAGATAGGCTCCCACAAAACACCAATATGTTCAAATTTCAATTTTAAAATAGAATTCGTCCCTCCCTTCTGGTGTGGAATTTTGTCAAGACACATGCCAAGAAACAAAACACCAGCAGTGATGTACGCACCTTTGACTCAGATGTATTCTAAGGGAAATCCATCCTCACACTGGCTGGACAAAACAAAATATCTTTGTCTGAGAAGAATAGATGTATATAAAACACCATCACAACAAAAACGCAAACATCTTTTTCAACAAAGCCTACTATGTAAACAAGTGAGCATGCATACATTCGCACTCTCCGATGTGACAGGCTTCGGTACTTTTTTCCCCTTGCTGGTGTGATAGAGCGATTTAGTGAACAGCTGACACATCCCACCCCACATACTGACCTCCAAATAGCTCTCTGTCAGTATGCAGGCAAAGATAGCTTCAATCGTGTGAAGCAAAATGTGACTGGGATCAATAGGATCAGCACAATCAACCAAAATGTATAATATTGGTGAGATAGCAGGCAGAAAAGCTCATGATGAAATTGTGCTTACCGTGTTCACATACCTGGGTAGTGTTATGATGATGATTTGCATACCTCCTCAATTAATTTCTTCCAGTTCATTTTGTATTTGTACCTATGTTCGAGTAGTTTGACATGGGGGGGCGGGGGGTTAAGTGGGAGGATATTAGAGTATCAAACACAAACACAGGTGGAACATGCAAATTCAACACAGAAAGGCCTGAGCCTAGATTTGAACCCAGAACCTTTGACTGTGAGGCATTTGGGCCAAAAGTTTGTACTTTGCCGCCTTTCATTTAGTTTTTCTTTGGAATTTCACTGACACTGTTTTTTAATTTCAAAAGGAATGACGATTTCTACTGTAAACTAATATGAATGAGGAAGAACACTTTGTTTCATGCAACTTGTTATTGCAAACAAATATTGATCACGTTTGCTGGAGAATGTTGCAGGTATAAATCTGAGCTCAGGAAAGGCAGCAGCATGCGCCACTATAGCAAAGCCAACGTTCAAAAATGACGTGCGAATAATTGCAGTCTCCTTTGTTTGTGTTCGAGCAATCTGTCAGTGTCCTTAATGTTCATGTTTGACAGCTCAAAACGCATGCCACCGATGAGGGAACCACCTCCACCGTCACAGTTCAAAGGTTATGAAGAAATTAAGCAATAATGGGCTCACATTTCACTGGGTCACCACAGAAAACACTTAAACATGCTATGGTCATTCTACATTCTGTCCATAGGATAGATATTCTTATCTCTGTATGATGTCCAAGATAAAGATAAGAGTACCACAACAGACATCCAATTAAAAAAAAAAAGTGAGATTTACACCCGATGTAAATACACGTTTCCTCATTTAGACAAGCAGACAGAACACAAACATAGGACAGCCCAGCATTGTGTTTGCTCGGTTTGATCGACAGCTCCATGTGGTACTGAGTACCCCTTAATCCAGTGAAACTCTATCGACGCGGTAATCTCCACAGTCCTGCTGTGGCACAAAAAAAAAATAACTTGTCGTCAGCAAGGGTAGAATGGTGGCCTACAAACCACTCTGCGTTTCCAAAGTTCCACCAGACCATTCATCACAAATGTTTGTTTTGTAAATAAAACGGAGGTTTGTTTTGTAAATGTTTTTTTCCCCTTCTAAATATGATCCAGAAAGAAGATGTCTCAAATTATGAAACAGAGCAAACCGGGAATATATCGCAGTTGACTGATGGTGCCCATTGGCTAAAGAAAAAAAGAACCCCGAGGCAAAGTCAAAATGTGTCCAGTGAATTTAGATGTAAACAAAACAGCAAAAGACTCCATTTAAAACTCAAGTGTCACGTTTCCTTCAACAATCATAGTAGCGACTGTAACATCATCAGAAAACATATTTTAGTGTAAAAAAAATGTTGCATTTTAATTGTTATTCCCGACAAACTGACCTAAAAGTCATTTCCTTGTTGGTGGGTGTAATAACGTACTTTGGTGTGCCATATCCAGGCAGCTGCATCATGCAGAATAACATTAGATGTCCTTGACTTAGGCCTTGTCAACAGTCCTGCATGTCTAATTACAGCACAGCCTACAAACTGACAGCTACTTAAAAACCTAACCATTCATTTAACCTCGCTAAACACTACGTCGTTTGTTCTCAGGCAGCCCACAGTCTAATTTTTTTTTCATGAATTTCAACTATATTAGTGGTGAGAGCAAGTATCATTGCTATGTATACTTAACTTTTGGGAAATTTATTAATGCAATGCCCAACCGTGTTCTAAGCGCAACCAAAATAAAAAAGCGTTCACTGCAGCTACAAGAGTTCTGCCGCCCTCTTGGGGCAAAAGAAGTAAACTGCACCTTTCAGGAAACTAACACAAGTCAAGTCAAGTACACATGACTGTTGTGGCTAAACCTGGAAACATTCAACGGGGTACACCCTGAGCTGGTTGCTAACCAATTTTAACCAAGTTTATTTAATGTAAAATAGTACATGTATAATCAGAGTTACACATGTTTGAATACATTTTTTTCCAATGCACATTATTTCTTTCCTTTCTTCGCGGGACCTTTCGCTTTAGCTTGCGCCTGCAGTTTCTCTTCCCTTTCTGCAGCAGCCTTAATCCGCTTCTTTCCCAGGGGAGTCTTTGCATACCATTTCTGGACACACAACACAAAAGAAGTTGCTTTATATTTTACCAAATGTCACAATGAGCGTTCCATTAAACAGAACCAAACAAGTACTTTTAATGCCTCTTCCTCCTCCTGAAACACGGGGCTGAACTTGGCTAATGGAGCCACAAACTCAATAGCAGTCAAAGGCCTCTTTTCTTGTAGAAGGATTCGTCTCTTGGTAATAACTTGCTGGATTGCCTGGATCATGTGACCTGGGGTATAGCCATCTGAAATTTTGGTCAAGGAGCTGAGGTCCAACGCTGAAGTTATCTTGCCTCCATGTTTTTCGATCAGGTGCTTCCACAAAACTGAAATGATTTCATGTTAATACAACCATTGGAAATGAAGATTGATGCACTTTGCTCGATTTTTAGCATTAAGTATGTCGTTTCCTACCATATCTGGAGCCGTAGTCGGGCCTTGGAATGAGGATGACTTTTGTATACATCTTACACAATGACTTGATATCCGTATTAATGGGATCTCTACATGTTCCGATGATGAGAACGCGATCCTCTTCTTTGATCAGCTTGAGTGATTTGGGCAAATCTTTCTTCAAGCGTTTAGGTTCTATCTGGACATGTGTGGAGCGTTTTTAGTTTGAAATGCAAGACAAATTAATTACTATGAGCTACTATTCATCAGACATACCGCTCTTTCTTCCTTGGGAACTTTCTTGTAGAACATTTTCTCTGCGCCACCAATCCATATCACTGAAGGCTGCATCAATCTCGCGACCTGTGTGGAAATGATCATGTTAGGAATTGCTTTATTGTCACAACATAAAAAAGACCTTTTAAAATAATGTTTGTCTTTAGATATTATGTGTGAGCTGTGACAGATAAACTCCAGGACTGGTGTCACAAAAGATATACCTGTACGTCAAATCCAAAATTGCATACCAACAGTTTTTATTTTCTAAGTTGCACTGTATAGATACGTTAAAAAAAATCTCTTTAATACAGTAAAAGTATTTATACTGTGCTACTTCCCACCACTGATAAGTTATGTTGATACGTGGGTATTGATTTAAAAAAAAAAAAAACGGAAATTGGGAAGCAACTCAAGTTTGTTTCTGTGCGTTACCTTAAAGACCAAATGGAGCATCATAGCGAGGCCACTCTTGCCTGGATACTTTCCAGCAATGTTGAAAGGAGAAAGGTCAAACAGGGTTGCGCCAGTCTCCTGGCAGATTGCGTGGACCAACATCTTCTTACCAACCCCTGCTGGCCCAACTAGTAGAATGGCTTTTGTAAGGGGAGCCTTCTCGTGAACCACATGAGAGCCTGTAAAACACCCACACAACTTCATGGGCACCCTTAACAAGTTCTTATTGTACGTGTCAATCATATACCTAAAGGTAGAATTCCATAGAGAGAGATAAGTTGCCGCACATCTGCCAAGGAAGGCATGGGTTCAATGTCATTCTGTCTCAGTGTGGTTCCAAGATAGTTGAAGTCACCTTCGAAACAAAGGGAAATGGCTCGCTAAGTAACTAAAGAGTGAAGTGTGCTGATTATGACATAATATCAGAAATTGGTCGGCATGATCTTGGCGTTATTAAGTTTCACACCAGAAGAGGGCAGCACATTGCTGTTAAATTAAAAAAAAAATAAACAATCATGAGTCGCAACGTTTGGCACACTGCAGGGGCCACTACAAGACCTACAAGATAAAAAATTATGGATTTATTAATGGTGAGTTTTGGTGAACACTGTC